GAAGAGCACCTGCCTAGCAAGCATGAAGCCCTGAGTTCAAACCCCAGTACTGCCAAAACAAAACAAAAACAAAGACCAGCAACATAGCAAGACCCCATCCTTTTAGAAAGAAATTTCTCCATCTCTTCTCCTGGTATCCATGGAAGATTAGTTCTAGAACTCCCAAGATATCAAAATCCACAGGTGCTCAACTCCCTCAATTGGCATAGTACCTACGCAGAACCTAGGCACACCCTTCCATAGACATTACCATATTTTAGTATTTTGTGGGGCTGTGGATGGAAGCCAGGGTCTTGTGCATCCTAGGCTGCATCCCTCTCCCATTAAGCTACAGCCACAGCATTTCTAGCTTTAAATATTCAGGTGACCTACACTACCTAATATATAAATGCGACAAAGTTTGGGAGACTTTATCTCAAACAATGGCTGGGTTTGGTGGTGTGCACCTGTCATCCCAGCAACATGGAGAAAGCACAAATAGCCTATCTCAAAAATAATCAATTTAAAAAGCGCTGGTGGAGTGGTTCAAATGGTAGAGCACCTGCCTAGTATATTTAAGTGGGAGGCCCGAGGTTCAACCTTCAGTACTATCAAAACCAAAAAAATAAGAGTGTAGCCAGGTGTTGATGGCTCACACCTATAAACCTACCTATTCAAGAGGCAGGGATCAGGAGGTCGTGGTTTGAAGCCAGCTCAGGCAAATAGTTTGAGAGACCCCATCTTGAAAAGGCCCATCACAACAACAACAAAAAAGGGCTGGTAGAGTGGCTCAAGGTGTAAGCCCTGAGTTCAAGCCCCAGTACCGCACACAACAAAAATAGAACTGTTATACTATAAACCAGGTGGGTGGCCCATGCCTATAATCTCAGCAAGAGGGAGGCTGAGTCAGGAGGATACCAAGTTTGAGGCCAGTCTGGCCTACACAGCAAGACCACTTGTCTCAAGGAGTTGTTAAACTGTATCACTTACTACTGCAGGCACAATGATTTCTCAACTATTTTTGGTCCATGGATGGCAAATCTGCAGACACAGAGCCCATCGATACAGAGGGCTGACTATATTTAACCAGGCTTGATTCCCTCACAAAGCTTTTTATTCATGGGGCTCCTGGAAAACAGATTTATTTAAGTACAGCTGGCCTGACACCAGTCTCTCCATCTATAGAATGGGTTCACAGCATCAGCCACCTGGAGACTGTTTCAGGACTAAACAAGTGGGTGACACAGGCAGATGGCTCATCAGCCTAGTCAGTGCCCAGTAAGGCCAGCTGTTATTGTCATGTCCCCAGTCTACAGCTCTACCCCTTCCCACACTGTTACATCTTCTGCCTCTGATCATCTCCCAGGTCCTTGACGTTTCATGGGATTCTTGGGCATTGGTCCCCAAGGCCCCAAGAGTCTTCACAGCACTATCTGGTCACCAGCAGACACCCCAGCTTCCATGACCCTTATGACAACCAAAGGGCAGCCTCTCTATTTCAGCAACACTGTCATTACCAGGTAGTTCTTGGTGGGGGGACTGACCTAGGCTCTGCCCCACCATCAAGTGCATGCAGAGGCCAGTAGTAGTCGCCCCACGTGCGACAACCAAAAATCCATCCAGACTTTTCCCAAGCATCCCTGAGTGGGCAGGGTTGTCCTCTGTTGAGCACCGCTGCAGATCAGCATTGTCCCCATTAATCAGACTGCTTGTCCCCATTAATCAGATAGAGAAACTGAGACAGGAGGTCCAGACCTCTGGCCAGCATCTCATGGCTGAGCAAGGTGGCACTAGGTGTGGAATGTGACTCTATTGTAATATTTACCCACCCTCTGCTCCACTCAGAAAACACCAACACAGAAAGCCCTCAGGTCACTAAGGATGTCAGACCTCTGCTAATGAAGTGGCATGGACGGTGGGCAAGACGAACCATACACTAAGCACCTAACCCATCCTCCAAAGGGGACAGACACAGTGCACTTCATAGCCTCTGTAGCTCAGAGGGCTGTCCAGAGATGTTCTTACCAAGAGGTTATGAGCGGCGGGAGGCAACACAGACCAGCCACAAGGACCACTACTGGGAGGTTTTAGAAAAGGAGGGAGGGGGCATCTGAAGAAAAAACCAGTGCTGCAATTCCCTCATATGTCATATGGGGATGACCATGTAAGATGGGCTAGACATGGGTTTACATGAGCTCATACACAGACAACATCTCAGAGCAATCCAGGAGGGAGCGGAATGAAGAGGGTCAGGGAGGACCCAAGAGAGGGAACACAGTGGCACAAACACTGCCTCTTTGTCTGCGGGCCATCCTCTTGAGCAGGCTCAGGTGTCCCGCCTGGGCCTGGCAAGCTCCTGTTCTCTGTCACTGGCTTTGGTGACAATGAACTCTAAGATCAGAGCTTGCTGGGCCAACTCCCAAACTCCCTCCAAACTCTGTGCCCCTGGGCTGACCTTTTGAAAGATCCTATACAACTGTAAACTCTTGACCTCAAGAACCTGGTAGGGCTCCCTGCTACCCTACCTGGCCAGGGGACCAGGTGTGCAAAGACCCTGGATGAAGTCCTAGGAGGCCCAGAGACTGGGTTCCTCTTTCCCATGGATCTCTGTGCCCACACTAGGTTTGTTCCTTGCTTCTTCCCTCACAAAGACAAAATGTTTCGGGCACTTAGCAGGAGCCTGGCACATACTCAATAAAGGCTTTGAATGTGTTGTCCTCTGGCCTAGAACACACCCCCAGCCCGAGCTAACTTATTATTCAGATCACAGCTCTCCCGGAAGCCTCTCCTGACCACCCAATCGAAACCTCCCCACCCCCTGTCTCACTATCCCTCCACCTCCTTCTCCCATCTCCATAAACAGAGAGCTCCCTGGGACTCAGTCATTACCAGTGCCTGCTGCTCTGGCTCTAAGCAAAGGCCCCGCCTGACCTCCTCTTCTTCTGCCCTCCACACACCAGGGCCAATGCCCACCAGTCTCTGCCTGTTTCAGCTGTGACTTCCAACTCTGTTCCCACCCTGTCCTTAGCACCCCACCCAGCAGAGGCCCAGGAGGCTCCAGTCTGTGCCCTAGCAGCCAGCCCTGGCGTAACCAGGCAGGAAATAAGGTCTCTGTGCACTCAGTTCATACCCAAAAGACAAGGCGACAGCATCAAAGCGGGGGGAGGGACAAAGGCAAGTGCAGAAGCCTTAACATTGGTATAACTAACAGAGGGTGGGGCTGGAAGGAGGGTGGTTCTACTGGGGATAGGGTGGAAGGCACAGCTGCATCAGGGAAGTGTGAGGGCACAACCTACAAGTGCCAAGTTCTTTGTGTGGGGCAGCTGGCCCAGCTCCCACCCCTCCCAGAACCAAGAGAGCAGCCTATGTGGTCTTTGGGGGTGGGGGGAGAGTGGGGGGGGTGGGGAGGCGGGGAGAGTCTGGGAACTATAGAGAGACTGGGGAAGAGGAGAATAAGGGTAACAAGCCATCATTAAACCTACGACGATTGGCTGATACCACTCAACCCAGCAGTCTGTGGCTCCCCAATAACACCCAGAACACCCTGGTAACAGTCTTGCAACAAGTCTAGAAAAAAGAGTGGGGCAGTGTGACCAGGAGCCAAGGCTGGGAGAAAACAGCCTAGGCGGGTGAAGCAAAAATCCCACTGCCCAGTCAGCCACATCTGTCCCTCCAATCCAAGCGCTTCCCATAGCGGCCCATAGCTCCATGACCCCTGACCTCTCTTCTCCCAGAGGAGAATGGGGTATGCCCAGGATAAAGAAGCTTCCACTGTTCCCATTCCCTGGGACACCAAAGAAACTGTAACTGGGGACACAGAAGCTCCTCTACTTATGTCCCTAAAGGACCAATTTGGCTAGGCAACTATGGGCTTGAGCTGAGGGTCCAGTGCATCTGGGATGTACCACTATCTAGTCAGCTGACCCAGGGTAAGCCACATCTCTTGGGCTTCAGCTTCCTCCTTGGACCACAGAGAAAGCCTGAGAGGACTAGGTGGTGGCCAACACATGAGCCTGGCCCAGAAGGTGCACCTCACAGGAAGACCTGGAGCCCCAAAAGCCTGGGGCAGGTTGTTGGTACCTGATTGATCCTCCCAAGCAACACAATCAACAGAACTCTTATCCATTTACCTCCCTGATTCTTGCCCCTCTGAGGGCGCACAGAATTCATGTCTACTGAGCTCCTGCTGGGAAAGCCACGTTTAGGACAGTGACCTGCGATTCCCTAAGCTTGGGTCTCCAGGCCACTAAAATAGCCTGGAGTACGTACTAAAGTAGAGAACAAATCCAAGACCTCACACTAGATACCAGAGCTAGGTGTGCCAAACCATGCCCCCGGCGGCTCACACAAAATACCCACCCACTGGCCTGAACCTTGAAGTGGGTGGCAGAGACTCCAGGGATGAGGTATGGGAAAAGGAGGACCCTCCCTACTCCGGATTTAACCTTGACAGAACACTTGGGGAAGTGGAGAGAGAGAGAGAGAGAGAGAGAGAGAGAGAGAGAGAGAGAGAGAGTGTGAGTGTGTGTGTGTGTAGGGGGGGGGTACACCTTGGTGTCCCTTAGATCGCATTAGTTTTTCCTGACGTGCTCCACATCCTCACCAGCCTATTCCAAAGGCTGTGCTTGATCCAGCTCCCAAAGGTCCCAGGAGTCCCAAGCCTTACCTGATAGCCCCCTCCCCATGTGCCCGCCCCTCCACCCCCCATAAATCTCTGGGCGCTGAACTCAGATGACCCTTTACAAACATCTCGGGGAATCTCCTCTCCGCCCCCACCCGCACTAACTCCGCCCCCACGCGCCATGCCCCACTTCCGGGGCTTCTCGGTAGCCGCCCCCAGTCCTGTAACTTGACCCACCCACCTCCTCCAGCGGCCGCTCGGTACCTGAAGGCCCGGCCCCTCCCCGCCCCCTCCGGGTCGTTTTCCTCCGGCCGCGCTGCTCTCCCTCCTCCCCCCACTCCGGCCGGCCCGGGAGCCCGGCTCCTCCCTCTCCCCCCCTCCCTCCGGCCTCCCTGGGCACCTCCGCACTTTTTCTCCCCCGATCCTCCAACTTCCCGGGCCCCCCGGCACCTGCCCCGGCCTCCGCCTCGCCGGGAATGGGGTGGGGGGGGGAGAGGTCTAGGCCCAATCCCGCCGCTCCCAAACCCCGCGGCCCGGCCCGCGGCTGGAGCTGTAGGCCGCCCGCGATGGCCGAGCCAACCCCGCGCTCGCCGGCCTGGGCACGGTGCAGGCTGCTGGCCTGGCTCCTCCTCTGTCCCAGAAGAGTCCCCCCCCCCTCCCGCCCTCCCCTCGCAGCCCTCAGCCGGAACCTCGGATGCCCTCGGGCCGCCCCGGCGGGAGGAGGCCGGAACTGGGCCTGAGGCGGGCCGCCTCACCTGCGCCGCGGCCGCGCTCCGGGGGCACCCGGCGGGCTCCGCAGCGGCAGCTGGGGCCGGGCCTGGGCCCGGGGCGCGCCCCCCTGCGCCGGGGCCTCGGCCTCCGCCTCCGCGGCCTCCGGGGCCTCCGCCTCAGCAGCAGCGGCAGCCGCGGCGGCCATTCATTGTGGGCCAGGCCGCCCCAGCCGAGCGCCGAGCACACGAACGCACGCTGCGCCGCCGCCGCAGCCGGACCGGGGAGAAACGGTCTTGGTCACGCCCCCGGGCCACGCCCCAGGCCACGCCCCCAGGCCCGGCCAGCCGAGCTCCGAGCGCACCACCCCCTCCTCTTACCAGCTTGGTCTCCGCCCTCCGCCCACTTGAGGTCCTCACAAGTGCATAGGTTCTGCGGGCTGTCTGGTCCGAATCCCGACCCCGCCATCTTCGAGTCCCGTGGGTATGGAACTTTAGTGTCCTGTAAAAGTAAAAATGACTTGTTTATTATTATGCCAGACACTGTTTTAGGCCCTTTATGGGAGTGAGCTAGTTGCACGGAGAGATGAAACGTGTTCAAGATCTCGTAGCAAGGAAGTGATGGCAGGTGCCAAGATTTAAACTCAGGCTCAAGGAGCTCAATAAAACATAAGAATCTGCATTAACTGGTGTACTTCTCTCCACAGCCCACAACGAGCATTTAAAAAGCTCTGCTCGTTTTGCAAATGGGGAGATTTAAGCAAAGTTAGAGCAAGTAGCAGGGTCGGAGGCGTGGCTGAAGAGGTCGAGCGCCTCCTTACCAAGCCCTGGGCTCAATCTCCAGCCCCGCCAAGAAATCAGAACCCGCTAAGGGCTCACTATGTAAGTGGCTGCTTTGCACTTTCCAGGCATTCTGCTCGTCCTTGGAAGTAAAGATTCTGATGTAACACGTAAGGAAAGTGAGGGACCAAACGTTTAAAGTAACTTGCCCAGAGCACGTGGTGGGGCTGGGATTCCAACCCAGTAAATCCAGTTCAAGAGCCTGAGTTATTCCTACAGGGCTCTCTGAAACAATGTGTGCACAGCACCTGGGAGACGATCACTAGGTATTGAATTTCTCCGTTTACTGCTCCTTTTCTGAGGCACAATATCGTCTTCTGTTAAACAGGGCTAGTGGCGCGTCCCCTTTTTAGGGGAAGCAGCTCTTTCTAGGAGCCACCTGCACAGCACATGCACACTCAGCGCGCTTCTTTTGGCGGAGAATTTTGACCCAGGTCGGCCACCATGAGGGGCAGCACCGATTAGCTAACTCCGGTCACGTGATTCGCCTTCCCTTTGTGCCAGTATGGCGGCGCCCGGATCCCAATCCGGGAAGCGTGCACCGAGACTGGTTTAGTTCTGTGTGTCCACAGAGGAGGTGAAAAGAACCCAAGTGGTCCCGGGAGAGATCTGAACTGCAGCGAGGGCTTCCGGCTCCATAGGGAGTGGGGGGCGGGTGCCCACTTACTGAGGCCCGGTTTCCTTACCCCCATTTTACAGGTGTGTAGGCCACCCCCGGCCCTCAAAAGGCAGCTCTGACAACTTTATGCCCTCCCTCGCCCCCCACCCCCACCCCCACCCCCCCGAACTAGTTCTGACGAGCAGAGGTGCCCGCGGATGTCCCATGCGAGGACCGCTCTGTGGCTAAAACTCACTCTCCGCTCCGCCCGCGGCCTCCGTAGAGCCTGGTGTATGGAGGGGGAATCCCAAGGGCCGCCGAGGCCAGCAGCGATGGAGAACGGCACCGGACCCTGCGGAGAAAAACTTCCACTCGCGGCTCAGGAGACGACAGTCACCGAGGGGGCCGCCAAGATCGCCTTCCCCAGCGCCAACGAAGTCTTTTACAACCCTGTGCAGGAGTTCAACAGGGACCTGACGTGAGCAAGGGTCAGGGGTCAGCCTGGCAGAGGGGAGTGGGTCCACGAGGCTGAGGATATTACCGGAATAAATCCCGGTTGCCCGCCGCTTGGAAGGCCAGGAGACCAGAGTTGGTAGGAAGAAATCAGGTTTAACCAAGGGCCAGCATTTTAGAAGATGGACCCGCTCAGCCTCAAAGCTTCATCCTGCTGGGTCCCCGGGCGCACAGGATTTTTATAGGGCGGGAAAGGAGCAGGGCTGGAAAGTTATACATGCCTAGTGGGGTCTTCGTCGCCTGGGGTCATCCAGGACGTGAATCTTCTCTTTTCCGGAACATGGCAATCGCCCTCCTGGGGCTAGTTCCTGTAGTTCTTTTTAGACAGACAGGATTCTTTTCTGCCTTCACATCAATTTACATGCTTTGTGTGAGTGGTTGCATAGAACTAAAGAAGGAAGGGCGTTACAAAGTTCGGATGTTCTGAAAATCTAAAGAGAGAATTAGCCGTTAATGTCTTAACCATTTAAATGGAACTTCTCTTTAGATGGGCGGGCAAAAGGGAGGAGGGGACTAAGGACTAGGAAGGGGGATTGCAGGAATGGTGGATAGTAATTCTGGCAAAGAGAAGTCTGTCAGGGCAGACCTGTTAAAAGGGGTGCAAGCTGACCTTCTCTCTACCATCAGATGTGCTGTGATCACTGAGTTTGCTCGGATTCAGCTTGGAGCCAAAGGAATCCAGAGTGAGTGGAGGTCTAGACTCCTGGTGGGTAGGGGAAGTTACACAAAACCCAGGCACTCACTGTCTCCTTTATCCCCACCCCCCCCACCCTTGGCAGCACTGGGGTTGAACTCAGGGTCCTGCACTTGCTCTATCACTTGAACCACTCCACCAGACCTTTTCGTGCTGGGTATTTTCCAGATAGGATCTCTCAAACTATTTGACCATACTGGCCTCAAACTGAGATCCTCCTGATCTGTGCCTCCTGAGTAGCTAGGATTATAGGTGTGAGCCATGGGAACCCAGCTTCTGTCTCTCTCTGCCTCACCCTCCTTCCTTCCTGTGAGGTTTTGAGAAAGACTTTCTTCCATGAATCTTTAGGATTCTGAAGATTGGGAGGCGGTTTTCTCTGAAGGAGCATTTATGGTGGGGCAGAGCCCAAATGGTAATGTGCTCCAGGCCCTGGGTTCAGTCCCCAGTACTGCAAAAAAAAAAAAGTAAAAAGTAAATAAAAATAAGGCATTGCTGTTCCCTGACTTGTCCCTCTGGTGACTGCAGTCAAGGTGCCAGGAGAGAAGGATCTTCAAAAGGTGGTTGTCGACTTGTCAGAACAAGAGGAAGAAAAGGTTGAACCCAAAGGTGAAAACCTGACCACAGGAGCTCAATCTCGGACAGCTGCGGTGGGGGAGATCTGTGAGGTAGGGCCTGAGCCGTCTCTCCAGGGCTCCTCAAACAGGGGGAGCTACAAGAGGTGGGTGTCTGGGAATATGGGGCCCAGAAGAGGATGGAGCTAAAAGTATGAGTGAGGGTCCTTGCTTGTTCTGATAGGAAGGCCTGCGGGTGCTGGAGGGCCTGGCAGCTTCTGGCCTTCGATCTATCCGCTTCGCCCGGGAGGTACCTGGACTCCGGTCTGTGGTTGCCAACGATGCCTCTGCCCAAGCTGTGGAGCTCATGCGCCGTAACGTCCAGCTCAACAATGTGGGCCACCTGGTGCAGCCCAGCCACGCAGATGCCCGGTAGGTCCTGGGCAGCAGTGCCCAGTGGCCACGAAGCTCAATCTGGAGTGCGGCTGCCTACTGTCAAACCCTGGCTCTATCACAGTCTCCACCCTTGGGAAAATGACTTAGCCTCTTTGAACCCCAGTTCCCTTGTCTGTCAAAGGGCAGCTTGGCGGGTGGCAGCTTGCCGAAATAATGGATAAAAACTGTGCAGCCTTAAGTTCTGTGCCAGAAAGAAGCGGAGTCATGCACTGCTTAACGCTGGGGACGTGTTCTGAGAAGTGTGTCAGGAAGCAGTCCTGTCGGTTGTTTCTTTAGTTTATCTTGAGGGATGCAGTCTTGCTATGTTGCCCAGGCTAGCCTTAAGCCCATGATCCTCCCTCTTCAGCCTCCTGAGTGCTGGGATTACAGGCAGGCACCACCATGCCCAGCAAGGTGATATAATCTTACGAGACCACAGTTGGTGACTGAAACATCATTGTGTGGATTTTAAATGTATACTTGTTTTATTTGCTTAGTGTATTGTGATTACTATTTATGGTGCTGGGATTCGCACATGCTAGGCAGGTTCTCTACTACTGAGCTACACCTCCCCAGTCCTGTGGGCTCCATTTTAGACTTAACTTCTTGTACCCTTTTATTTGTTCAAATGAGCCATGGTGTATCCAGTGTCTGCTATGAGCTGGGCACCACTCTCAATGCCAAGAGTGGATCAGTAAACACAATAGAACCTGTGACCTTTGCAAGAGTTGGCAGACGGACAGCCTGTGGGGCTTATGGTTGGATTTATGGATACACAAAACAGCCTAATGTCCTATGTCAGTACTGACTATTATTGTCAAGATTACAGAGAGACAGTCTGAGACCTAAGAAGGAAAATCATGGTGTTGACCAGTGGCCAAACTGGGTGTGGTAGTGAGGCTGAGACAGGAAGATCTCAAGTTCTAGGCCAGCCTGGGCTACATAGCAAGACCTGTGTCATAAAAAGGCACAAATGACCAAGCTAGGACCTAAACCTGGGAAAATGGCCCCAAGTTCAAGGCCAAAGTCACTGCTCTCTGTAGGAATTACTTTGTGTAGGGGACAGAGTGGGTGGTGGCGTGGGAGGGGCTGGTGTGGGAGGCTTAGGTCTGGCCCTCTCCCATGCAGGATGCTGATGTACCAACACCAGAGGGTGTCAGAGCGGTTTGATGTCATTGACCTGGACCCTTATGGCAGCCCCGCCCCCTTTCTAGATGCAGCTGTGCAGGCAGTGAGTGAAGGAGGTGAGGCTGGGGTGAGACTGCGCTGACACCAGCTATGGAGCAGGGCTGGGTGTCTGGAGGGTCCTCACTGCCCAGCCCCTCATTGCCCACAGGGCTGCTGTGTGTCACCTGCACGGACATGGCGGTGCTGGCGGGGAACAGCGGGGAGACATGCTACAGCAAGTATGGGGCCATGGCCCTCAAGAGCCGGGCCTGCCACGAGATGGTAAGGGGCTCTTCCAGCACCCCTTCCTGCACCTCTGACCTGCTGGCCTCCCTCCAAGAAGAGGGGTCAGATCCATCCCAGACTGTGAGGGAATTGACCTCCTTTGTAACTGACAGGAGGGGGTAGTTACATATCCCCCTCCCGCCCTGGGGCTTGAACTCAGGGCCTATACCTTGAGCCACTTCACTGGCCCTTTTTTGTGATGGCTGTTTTCAAGATAGGGTCTCACAAACTATTTGCCTGGGCTGGCTTTGCACTGTGATCCTTCTTATCTCTGCATCCTGAGTAGCTACAATTATAGGTGTGAGCCACTGGCACCTGGCTACATTGTGTTTTTTCTTAATTCCATATTGTAACAACTTTTCCAAAAGCACTTTATTGTTTGCTTTTCTTTTTTGAGTCAAGGTCTAGCTACTTAGCACAGTCTGGCTCCAAATTTAACCATCCTCTTTTTGTCTTCCCGCCTCACTCAGCCTCTGGGTGCTGGGATTACAAGTATGCACCAAAATGCCCAGCTTAAAAAAATTTTTTTTTCAGCGCTGGAGGTGGAACCCGTGTATGTACTAGACCAACTACGCCACACTCTCAGCCCCCCAACACCCATATGTGTATATTTTTAGGTTGCTTTTCAGATAGGGTCTCAGTTTTTGCCCATGGCTGGCCTCTGACTACAATCCTCCTACCTATGCCTGCCACATAACTGGGATGGCAGGTTCTTGCAACACAGGCTTGTTTTGTTGAGATGGATTTTTTTTTTTTTTTTTTTGAAGTTCTGGGGTTTGAACTCAGGGCCTCCACCTTGAGCCACAGGGTCTCAACTTCCTGCCCACAGAACCCTGTGGGTGGGGAACATCGGTCCTTGATGAAAGACACAGGGTCACTACTGGTAGAGCTTAGCTACTGAAACTGTGGGCTCTTCAGTCATTTAGTGCTTCCAGTGGGCCCACAAAGAGATAGGGACTGTCAGGATTTTACAGATGAGGAAACTGAGGCACAGAGAGGTGATGCTGGCTCGCCAAGGGTCAAACACCCATCACACTTGGTGCTGGGCTTGGGACTCAGGTAGCAGTTGTGAGCACCCGGTGGAGGGATCTAGCTGCTGACGCCCACCTGCCCCCAGGCCCTGAGGATCGTCTTGCATAGCCTGGACCTCCGTGCCAACTGCTACCAGCGTTTCGTGGTGCCGCTGCTCAGCGTCAGCGCCGACTTCTACGTGCGTGTCTTCGTGCGTGTCTTCACGGGCCAGGCCAAGGTCAAGGCTTCAGCCAGGTCAGCCCGGGGGAGGGAGGAAACAGAGCCTTGTCCTGTTGCTCCCAAAGGGAACTGAGGCAGTCTGAGGGAGGGATTGGGGTGTGGTGACCACCCCTGGTCCCCTGCAGCAAGCAGGCGCTGGTGTTCCAGTGCGTGGGCTGTGGCACCTTCCACCTGCAGCGCCTGGGCAAAGCATCTGGAGATCCTGGTGGCCGGTGAGCAAGGGTGTGCCGGGAATTGGGGGCAACCCAGGACTGTCACCCCCTAACTGTCACCTTTCCTGCAGGGTTAAGTTCTCTGCGGCCTGTGGTCCCCCGGTGACCTCTGAGTGCGAGCACTGTGGACAGCGACATCAAGTAGGGCAAGGCCATGAAAGGGAGGGAGGCTCAGGGGTCCCACAGGCCACTTAGGGTCCCTGTGCATCTGTCCCTATGTGTCTGCAGCTTGGTGGTCCCGTGTGGGCAGAGCCCATCCATAACCTGGACTTTGTGGGCCGCATCCTTGGGGCCGTGAGCGCCAACCCCAGCCGTTTCCACACCTCACAGCGGATCCAGGGTGTCCTAAGTGTGATCACCGAGGTGGGGATGGGACTGGGCAACAGGGCTCCACTGTGCCCACCTGTCCCTTCTGCCAGCTGCCCCATGCCCACGCTGTGCCCCCTTGCAGGAACTCCCAGATGTGCCTCTCTACTACACACTGGGCCAGCTGAGTGCCACCATCCACTGCAACACTCCCAGCCTCCTGCAGTTGCGGTGAGGCCTGGGACCTAGGCCTGGGCAGAGCTGTGCTGGCTGAGGGTGACCGGGCCCCTGGGCTCCAGCCTCCCCTTCACCATCCCTGCCCATCCCCAGGTCGGCCCTCCTTCATGCGGGCTTCCGGGTGTCGCTCTCACATGCCTGCAAGAACGCAGTGAAGACGGATGCCCCCCCTTCGACTCTCTGGGACATCATGCGCTGTTGGGTGAGAACCGGGCTTGTCAAATGCAGGTGGGGGGGGGCAAATGAGAGTAGCCTGGAAGCACCTTGAGCCCAGGTGACCTCTGTCCCCAGGAAAAGGAGTGTCCTGTGAAACGAGAGCGACTGTCAGAGACCAGCCCAGCATTCCGCATTCTCAGTGTGGAGCCCAGGTATGGACGCATACATGGGAGGAGCAGGGCTGCCCACCAGCATGGGGCAGACTGGAGGAAACTGCCCACTCTCCCTGTCTTCTTCCCTCACCCTGAGCCCCCGCTTCCCAGCTTGTCCTGCACCCCCTGTGGCCTGTAGGGCCTGTGAGTATGAATCAGAGCACAGAGCATGACCCTCCTCTGTGTAGAACCCTCCGTGGCTCCCACCTTCCCCAGTAGAAGGCAAAGTCCTGCCTGAGCCCAGCAGATCTTGCACAGTGTGCCCATCACCTCCTCACCCTCATCTTAACCACTCTACACACCCACTGGGCACTATCCCATCTCAAGGTCTTTGCATGTGCTCTTCCCTCCCAGCTTCAGTTTTCTTCTCCTCTGGGAAGTCTTCCTGGACTGGCCACCCTGTTGAGCACTGCACCCTTCCCCAGTTACCTTTACTAAAATACCACTTGCTCTTACACAAATAATTTGCTTATTTCTTTCTATTCTGGTGCTGGGCCTTATGCATGCTAGGCAAGTACTGTACCACTGAGCCACACCCTGCTCTTTTTTAAATCCATACTGGGGTTTGAACTCAGGGCCTCACACTTGTGAGGCAGGTGCTCCACCACTTGAGTCATGCCTCCAGTGCTTTTTGCTCTACTTATTTTTCAGGTAGGGTCTCGAGTTTTTGTGCAGGGCCAGCCTCAGACCTCATTCCTCTTACCTCCCATGCAGCTGGGATTATAGGCATGTGTCACCACACCCAGAAAGCCCTTGCTTATTTCTCATTTATGTTGTTGTTTTTCTGCTTCCCCCAGGGACTAGTCCACTCTGTTCTTTCTATTCCCAGCGTGGGAACAATGTAGGCTTGATAATAAAAGGAAAACATTTATAAAATAAATGAAAGAATCACGATGCAGGCAGCCACTTGGTGCTGCATTGAGGCGGGCGGGCCAGGGTGATCCTTGCAGATCCACTTGGCGGCCATCCCCTGCCTCCACCCCCACTTGCCCAGGCTGCAGGCCAACTTCACCATCCGAGATGACGCCAACCCCAGCTCCCGCCAGCGAGGGCTCAAGCGCTTCCAGGCCAACCCAGAGGCCAACTGGGGTCCCCGGCCCCGCGCCCGGCCAGGGTGAGTGGCAGTGTTGTGGGGGTGGCACTTGGCCTGGGCATTGTGGGGGGAGGACAAAAGGGGTCCCAGCCCGGTGTGTGCACAGGGGCAAGGCCACTGGAGAAGCCATGGAGGAGAGACGTAGGCTCATGCAGAATAAACGGAAGGAGCTGGCCGAGGACCCAGCTCAGCGGGCTGCCCGGCTTAAGATGTTTCCTTGCAAAAGGTTCAAGGAGGTGAGGTCCCGTCTCTCCTCACTGCTGGGCACACGGGTGTCCCTTTGGGGCAACTGGGCTCTGTGAGGCCTCACACCACCATCTTCCCCCAGGGCACCTGTCCACGAGGAGACCAATGCTGCTACTCCCACAGCCCCCCATCGCCAGGAGCCTGTGCAGATGCTCCCACAGACTGTGCAGAGACCCCCAGCCACAGCCCCCCTGGGCCTGGCTCTGCCACTAGGCCAGGGGTAGATTGAGTCAATAAAGAGATGTTCTGGCTGTCAATTTGAGTGGGAGGCTGTCTGTGGTCCATCTGGGAGGCTCCATTCCTTCCTCTAGTCTGGGGCTGTGCCCCATCCCTGTCCTGACTCCCTAGGGGAGCTGTGTGTGTCTTTCCGGCTGGGGGATGTTTGTCCCTACCTGGCCGCAGCTTTCTGTCTGGCTTTCTGGGAGGCGAGAACTGTGCTAATCGGGCATTTGTGCAGGCCCGATTAGCTGCCCAAGACAGAGCATCCGCCTGCGGTTTCCCAGGCGGCCACGGGGCGGCAGCCGCGCGTCGCGCCACGGGCTTCTGCGCCGCTCAGCTTCGCCCCGCACGCTCCAGCCACTGAGCCCCCGCGGCCTCGGGTTTCTTTGGCCCAGCGCTCCCGGGGCCGGGGCCGCCATGGCGGAAGCCGGACCGGAACCAGGCACCCTGTGCATCCGCTCCAGACCAGGTGCTTCCTGCCCTGCAGCCCAGGGGTTGTGTGCACAGTTAGGGTGCACACAGGCTGCTGCCCAGACACCCCATGAGGGAAGTTGCGTCCCCCTCCCCTTAGAGCAGCGCTAAGGGGGAGTCCTGGGCCAAAATCCTCTCTCCACCACGTGCAGCCTTGGTCCCCCTGTGAAATGAGGCCAATCCTAGAACACCCCTCCCCCTCCTACACACACACACACACACACACACTCTTGTAGAAGCATCAGTTATCTTGAGGACTTCAGGCTTAAACTGGGGGCAGGGAACACCGCTCAGGTGGGTGAGCATTTGCCTAGCAAGTGCCAAGCCCTGAGTTCAAACCCCAGTACCGGCAAAACAAAACAGAAACTAGCCGTTTCTTTGGGGGAGAAAATGAGGAGGGGGGGACTGGGCGCTCCTGGCTTGCACCCCCTTCCAGGAAGAGTAGTGATCTTGCTGGGGGGGGTCTGATGGGCACTTGCAGGGGGGATCCTGAAGTTACCCAGATACAAACACCGCATGGGACAAAATGTGACTATGGTGCAGGGTCTCTTAATAGGGACAGGGAGCAGTGTGTGGCTGCTACCCTAGCTGTGACAAGGCCCTTACTTTGGAGCTCTGGGTCTCCAAAGTTACCACTCCAGGATTCCTGCAGCCGAGGGACACCACCAAGTTGGACCTATTTGATCCTGAATACCAGAGGCTCAATTGTGGGGACCTTTGTCAGCCCTGGCATCCTCGGGAATCAACAGCTGTCAGGTCACAGGACACCTGCCCTGGCTGGACACCCAACGCTAGGCTATCAGAACTGTCCCCCTGAGGTGCCCCACACCCGGGTGGGGGTAGAAGGGAAGTCAGAGGGCATCTGTAAAAAAGAGGAACCAGGCGGGGTGGGGAGAGGACGAGACAGGGGCCCTTGAGTCACGCGGCCCGTTGGGGCCGGAAAGGGGCCTCCTGCACCCCTACCAGCGCGGACACTGGGGCAGGGGACTGCAGAAGACACCGCAGGCCGAAGCTTCCCTGCCTCGGTTTCCCCTTTGCACGCATCCGGGCGCCTCCTAGGGGCTGCGCGCTAGGGCAGGGGTCTCCTGAGGGCCGAGGTCCTCCGGTGTGTGGGGGAGCGGAAGCCGAGGCCCAGAGGGGTGACGGCCGGGGCGGGGCGGAGGGCGCGCTCGCAGCTCCCCGCCCGCCGGTTTCCTCCGGGGTCAGTCCGGCTCCTTATCAGGCGCGGCCAGGCGGCCAGGCCCTTATCTGCGGCGGCCCAGCATCCTCTGGCCGCTGCGCCGGGGGTGAGAGGAGGAAACCGGGCCGCCGGGGGCGGGGAGAGGGCGGGCCGGGCCCAGGAGCTGCTCACTTGCCCTCGGGGGACCCACGCGCCCGGCGCGGCCGCCCCGGCCCAACTCCGGGGCCCAACGGGGCGGCCTGGAGCGCACTGGCCCCAACCTGGCCGGCGGAGACCCGCAACCTGGCGCGGAGGACACAGAGCCAGGCACTCACCAGGCTGCGGGAACAGCGCTGGGGTAAGAGGGGAGTCCGCTTGAAGATCGAGGGTCCCCCGCCTGCATTCCTTCGTTCATTCATTCATCATTCATTCATCAGTGGGGACCCAGTCAGTGAGTGGCCTGGCCACAGTCCCCAGCTGGGGAAGACAGGGCAGAGGGGCTGGGACACCCTGCAGTCCAGCAAGTAGGGATGTCTAAGCAGTGTGCAAATGCTGATGGGGCTGGGGAGGGGGTCCGAGAGCTGAGGGTGGGTTGGGGCATGAGTGACAGGGACTGGGTAATAGAGTCTGTGCTGAGGGTCTTGGGGGTCAGTACCAAGGAGTCACAGTGCCAGCAGCGGAATCACAAGTCTTGTAAGGGGTACATTTTTTTCAGCAGCAGGGGTAGGGCACTCTCTGGAAAAATCATGAAAAGCTTCCAAGGTCAAGTGTGGCCGGGATGGGCTCAACCCCAGGCTCATGCCTGAGGGCCACAGAGCCAGCCTGGGGCAGGGGGACAGCAAAGTGTCAGGGTGGATTTTGGAAGGACTCCACAGTCACATGGAACCAAGAGGAAATGACAAGGTCTCAGGATCAGTCTTTTGAAAGCTCTGAGGGGTAGAGGGTCAATCTTGGGGTTTGGGAGACTCTTGGGATCCATCTGGGGCTCCCTACTGGGTTCCACACTGCAGGTGAGGGAGATTCTGGAATAATGGGAGTTGGCTCAGAGGCTGAGGACAGAGACCCTCACGAAAGTGCTCAGAAAAGGCACTCCTCATTCAGTGCTGCCTGTCACCTAGCGGGCACCCCCTCTTGTGGAGGACCCTCTCCCCATGTCCTGGCAGTTTCTGGGCCTACCCTCACCTGTCTTTACTCATGTCCTCTCCCCCTCTCCAGTCTTTCCTTCCCATCCAAGGGTTCCCTGGTCCTCCTCCCCACCACTCCCTCCCCTTCCTTCCACAGGTGAGCACCCCCTCCTCGGGGTCCATGTGCCCGCCCCAGGCCGAGGCAGAGGTGGGCCCCACCATGACTGAGAAGGCCAAGATGGTGTGTGCCCCCAGCCCAGTGACCACCCCGCCCCCTAAGCCTGCCTCAGCTGGGCCCTTACCTACAGAGGAGATGAGACACCAAGGAGGCGCTTCCCCATCTAGGTTGCCCCCTGGTGTGCCAGTGATCAGCCTTGGCCACACCAGACCCCCAGGGGCAACCATGGCCACCACAGAGCTGAGCGCCCTGAGGCCCCCCTTGCTGCATCTCTCTGCCCTGGGAACGGCCCCGCCCACCCTGGCCCTGCATTACCACCCTCACCCCTACCTCAACAGGTCAGTGGAGAGTGGGGACTGGGGGTGCTGGAGATTGGGGGCCAGGGTCCTTGCCCACAAGGCATTCGTGACCCACAACCCCTTACAGCGTCTACATTGGGCCGGCAGGACCTTTCAGCCTCTTTCCTAGCAGCCGGCTGAAGCGGAGACCAAGCTACTGTGAGCTGGACCTGGCTGAGGGTGAGTGCCTTAGTGAATGTGTTGTGTGTGCGCGTGCGTTCGTGGGTGTGTTCGTGGGTGCCTAGGGCTCACATCTGTCCCATTCCTCTTCCACAGAGAGAGGTGTTTTGGCCCTCACACACTTACACACTGAGGACAGCCCACACAGGTCACAGCCAAGTTCAAGACCACAGTCCCACAGACAGCCCCACTCAAGCACCACCACCCAACAAGCCAAGCGTCACAGCCTCAGTCATGGCCACAACAGGGCATGGGAGCCACAAAATGACAGCTCCCCTGGAATGCAGCAGCCAGCCACACAACCACACAAGTCAACCACAGAACCACATCCACGCATGAAACAGCCACAACCCATGGCAACTGTTGGGCACAACCACAGCCATCAGATAGACCAGGAGTCACCCAGCCACACGAGAACACCCACAGGACCACCATGGCAAACAACCTCTCAGAACCATGAGCACTCCAGCCACACAGGGGCACGCTCAGGGGCACAGAGACTGCTTCCCAGGCAGACAGCCACAAGGAAGTATTTTCCCCAGGGAATCTCGGCCACTACCGTCAAGGGGACAGAGTCAAACGTAACAGTACCCCGGTGTCTCAGCCTGGGTTCCTTCAGGGTCTGTGTCTTGGGGGCCTTTGGGGAGGGAGATCTAGCTGCACGTGGGTCAGCCAGACACTGGTGACTCACGCCTGTAATCCTAGTTATTTGGGAGGCCGAGATTGAGAGGCTATTGATTCGAGGCCAGCCCAGGCAAATAGTTCACAGAGACCCCATTTCCAAAATAACCAGAACAAAATGGACTCAAGCGGTAGAGCACCTGCTTTACAAGTGTGAAGCCCTGAGTTCAAACCCCAGTCCTACCAAAAAGTCCCTAGGTCGGTGCTGGGAGGTCGAAATGGAGATAGCAGGGAGCAGGGGGTTGTCCCCTGTGGTCTCGCAGCCAACCCAGCCCCTCCTGTCTGCAGGGCACCAGCCCCAGAAGGTGGCCCGGCGCGTGTTCACCAACAGCCGCGAGCGCTGGCGGCAGCAGAACGTGAACGGCGCCTTCGCGGAGCTGAGGAAACTGCTGCCCACTCACCCTCCCGACCGGAAGCTGAGCAAGAACGAGGTGCTCCGCCTGGCCATGAAGTACATCGGCTTCCTGGTGCGACTGCTGCGTGACCAGGCGGCCGCGCTGGCCGCTGCCCCCGCCCCGCCTGGGCCGCGAAAACGACCCGCGCACCGAGACCGAGACCGAGGCTCGGACGATGGCGGCCGTCGGGGGTCGGCGCGCCGGGCGGAGGCTACCGTGCGTTCGCAGCCTGCGCTCCCGGGGGACTCTGATGGCGACCCCAGTGGGGCTGCCCGGCACATCAAGGTGGAGCAGGCGGCTCTGAGTCCGGAGGTGCGGTGACCCCGGGCAGAGGCGTCTCTGATCCGGGCACCAGGACTCAGCCCAGGGCCACTAAGGACCCGGCCCCAGAGGAGAGAGAAGACAGAAAGATCCTGGAGGTCTGGAAGGGTGGCCATGGCTCCCAGGGACCCAGCAGACCTTTTTTATTGTTTTTGTTTTAATTTCCCACTGATCGCAGGAAGTGGCCTTGCAGCTTGTCCTTCCCAGGGACGAGGTCGGGAACCAACAAGGCAAAGTGGCCATAGGACCCAAGTGGTGCCTTTTTTTTTTTTTTTCCCCGGGCAAGGGGAAGGTCGGGAGGGGACAGGGGGCCTTCGCCCCTCTCACCGGCACCCCTTCCCGGAGACCCAAGGACAGGCGCCTCTCGATGGCGCGTGCTGTGTGCTGGGCGCATGGAGAAGAGGCGCAGCAGCACCTACGCGCGGGGCGCCCGCCTCACCGAGCCCGCCCCGGTCCCGCACGATGGAACGCGTTAGCGAAGGCTCAGGCTCTCTTGCTTTTTTTTTTTTTTTCTTTATTTCTTTATTTCACATACACATTAGCCATTCAATGGAGAAGCCGGAGAGAGTCAGGCAAAGATGGTATAACAGAAGCGCAGTGACGGGGGCGGGGCGGGGCGGAGAGGGGACAGACGGGCTGGCTGCCTACTTGCATTCCGCTAGGACACTGAAAACCCAGAAAACAAAACAGACAGTAAACTACCCTTGTTTCTTATGTATCTCAGTGCAGAGACGGGGTTGGAGGGCAGAGAGAGGGAAGACCAGGCTGAAGGAGGAGGAGCAGAGGGAGGGGGACGCTAAGGGGAAGCACACCAAATCCATTAGTACTATATATAGATACTCGTATATACTGCGTTTCTTAGCCTAAGAAGAAACTTGTTTGACGGGACGGGCGGCCTTTGCGGTCCGCGATGCTGGTGCTGGTCGGGCGCACGGATCTCCCGGGAGGGGCCGGAGCGGGGCTGGCCCAGGCTGGCTTGCGGGGAGGAGAGGGGAAGGGGGCGCCCCGAGGGTGGGTGGGTGGGGTGGGGGGAGCAGAGGCGGGGCTAGGGTGCCCCTCGGGCTCTCGATTGGGGGACGAAAAGTTCTCGTAACTTTATTGCTCCTTTATTTTTCTCTCGTGTGTGTGTGTGTGTGTGTGTGTGCGTGCGCGCGTGCGTGTGTGCGGTGGGGGGGGGTCCGTTCACCACTGTCGGGGTGGGGAAGTGGCGGGTCGTCTGAGCCACCCGGCCCCTCTGGGACCCAGAGCGCGGCGTCCGCTCCGCCAGCACGGGGGTGAGAACAAGGCACTAGGACGGCCGGCCAGCGCGGGGACGGGTGTGTAAGGCAGTCGACAGGGCTGGATGCGGGATGGGGCGGGGCTGTGTGCGGGGCCGTGTGCGTGCGTGCGTGCGGGCGCGGGCCTGGGGCAAATCGACCTGTCAGCGTTTGCGGGTCCTGTCCTGGAGCATCGAGCCTCCCGGGTGCTCCTCGGAGGGGCCGGGGATGGAAGGGGTGATGTCGAGTGGGTGGGGGGCGCCAGGGGAGGGGGTCGGAAGGGAACTACCAACTTGCTGAGCGCGCTCCTGATAATGCTGGTGAGGGTCAAGTTGGCGTCTGGCTCAAAGAAGGGCGCTCGGGGCGGAGAGGGAGGGAGGGAAGGGACTTTTGTTCGTTGGCATTGACCTCTGCGGGGGAGGGGCCGGGGACCCCCGCTGCGACCCCGGGCCCGGACAGGGATGGGGCGAGGAGGGGGTGCAGGGCCCCTGGGAGGGGACGCCCGGGGAGACCCGCGGCCGGAGCAGCCCAGCCGCCGGGCGCACGCCGCTGTCCCGTTCCGTTAAACTCAACAAAAAAAAGGGATATGCGTGTTCCTAACAAGTGCAGGATATTTAATTGATTCATAAACTTATGTATAATAGTTGGTGGGTTTTTTTTTTAACGTACTTTATAACGTAAGAAGCACCAGGGTTTTTATGTTTAATTATCTTAAATTTTTTCTCTCGTCCTTTTCCTTTTTGATCTTGTGTTGGTTGATTTTTTTTTTAAACGTCGAGTTTTTTTTTTTTAACTCTAATATGTGAACGTTTCAAACTTCAGCCCTCCCACCGAAACCGAGAACGAACAACGGAACAAATAAAAACCCCAGATCATCCTCGTCAACGCAGGAAAACGACTTAAACTGAAAACGAACAAAAACGAAAGAAAGAAAAAAGAAAGAAAAGAAAAACACTCAGCTTTCGTTATCCCGCTCAGGGCGGGACAGGCCCAGTTCTTTTAGCGTCCCCAGAGCCGCGAGGACATTACAACAAAAATAGAATTTTTCTTAACAATATCTTAACATACAAAGATAGGAAAAGTCTCTGATGCATTGCACTTGGTTCAATGAAAAAAAAAAAGTTCATTTCCCCCATATATATTTTTGTGGGTTTTTTTTCCCTCTCCTAACACGTCCCCACATCTGTCGCCCTCGCCTGCCCCTCACACCGCCTCTTGGGGAAAGCGCTCGCCGCGCCAAGAGGCACGCGGGACTCCGCCGGGCCCAGCTGGGGCTGCAGCTTCGACCGTCGCGGGGGTGCCAAAGGCCGCGCCCGCCACTCCCGATTGTCTTCGACGGAAGGGGCGCACACGGCCGGGCAGGGACCCCCTACAGCTCCGCTACGGCTCCGACCCTGTTTAGCCAACCCAACTGAAAAGTCATTGCACTTTGACCGCGCGTCACGCCCGGCCCGCCCGGCCCCCCACCCCCGGGCCTTACTCCCCTCGCCCCGCACCGAGAGGCCCCCGCGGGACCCCTGTCCCTAAACCCCGGGATCCTCGGCGCGCGCGGAGGGCCGGGAGGCTTCGCTCAACTCTCGCGTGGAGCCGGCCCCGGCCGGCCGCCCGCTACGCTCCCGCAGGGGACCCGACGCCCCGCATGCCAGGTGAGGCCCTCCCTTCCCCTGCCGATCCTTGTAGCCGCCGCCCAGGGCCAAGCCGTCCAACATACGATGTGTATAAATAAGGCCTAACACCCTGCGGTGCAATGTTGGACTGACTTTCAGAGGACCCTGGCCTGTGCTTTGCGTTTTCATACCAAAGAGAGAAAGGGAGGGGGCGGCAGAGGCACAAGGACTTGAGGAGGGGCCCGGGGACTGAGACGCGGGGAGGAGTAAGGCACAGAAAGACAAGCCAGAGGGGCAATGCAACCTTGGAGGGGCAGGCGTGCTCCCCGCTCCCTGCTTCAGGGGGTTCTGAAGACCCTCTAGAAGGTCCCCGCCATCCCTTGGGGGAGGGGGGGGGGCTGGGGAGAGCGCTACCTCCTGCGGTGTGGTACCAAATTGTTCCCAAGTTGCTCAAACGGAAGAGGACTTCTCATTGCGACAGCAAAAGACCCAAACAATGACTGCCCCCCTAAATAAAGAGTAAAGACATTACAGCAAAGATCCAGAGAAAAGTGGGCACGGGGGCGTGGTGGGAAAGGGGGCAGGAAGCTTCAGAACACTTTGAAAAGGACGACACCCACCCCCCTCCAAAGGACCCCAGTCGATAAGGACGCCTACCTAGCGCAGGTGGTGGCCTAGCCCGCAGCAGCGGCAGCTGCCTCGTCTCCTCGCTCGGCTCCGGGGTCCCCTCAGCTCCACTCTCGGGCCGACCCCAGCTGGGCTGTGTGCGTGAGGGACAGGGGCAGGGACCAATGGGACGGAGCGAGGGCACCTGCATGCAGGGCTGGGGTACGGGGTGACCTGGGGCCCTCCCTCCCTCCCTCCCTTCTCTGGGGCAGCCCTCTCGGGCAGTGCCGGCGGAGCCTCAGCAGCGGGCCTGTCCCAGGCTGGGACTGACCGTTGAGCGCATTCCGACTTTCCCCCTGTGGACTGTACAGAACGGTCCAGCTCAGGGTGGGGTGGCAGGACGCCCATCATTCTAGGCTCCCGCAATTAGATCCAGGGGGCGCCCCCTGCCCACCCGGGGGCCTCCCTCGCCTGGTCCAGAGCAGCTGGGGGAAGAAGCCGGAGCGGTGGCCAGGAGGGAGGAAGGGAGAAGGACGAAGTGTTGAGGGGAGAGCTCGCGGGTTTGTTTGCTCCCCAGCATGTAATCGAGCTGGTCCTCCCGGCTCCCTAGGAAGCTCGGGTAGCGGAGGATAGGGTTCCAGGAAGGGTGGGTGGGGCAGGCCCCCTCATGGCGCTGGTCACTGCTGGCTGGGGTCGTGCTCCTTCCCGGAAGGCCCCCTGAGTGGGGAGGAAGGCATTTTGCCGCATCTTTTCTTTCGGTCTGTCCTCTGCTTGACAGAGTCCGTCCGTTTTACATGTTTCTTTCTGCTTGACTGCTGGTGCACAGCTCCACTGAGACCCCTTCCAGGGCTCCCCGAGAACTGTGCTGCTCCGGGGCCGCAGGGGTCCCCGGCTTGGAGGAGGGAAGGGCTGAGTGGCTGACGACGTCTAATTTTTGCTTTCCGGTGGGGCTGGGCTGGGCTGGGCTGGGCTGGGCTGGGGGAGTTTTTCATGTCTCAAAATTTCTTCTCCCCCCTTTTAAGGAACCTCTTCTTTTTCATTTTCTTGTTTCTTTGTCGATCTTATCAGAGGAACCAGGACTGAAACAGGCCCAAAAAGAAAAAAGAAAAAAAAAGGGGGGGGGACAATGAGAACAGCTGGGGTAGGTCCCCTTGGCCCTGTGGCTACCCACTCCTGGAGAGCCTGGCTTCAAGGAGGAGACAGGGTGCTGGACAGCTGCCCCCTATGGAGGAGGAAGTGCAGCCTCATCCTTCCTACCCTCCACGGGAATCCCCCAGACCCCACTCCCCAATGCTAGAGTCCAGCTGGCCTGTCCATGGGCACAGTGCCCAGCGGGTGGGACCCCATGGCGGGTGCTGGCACAAACCTGGGATTTGGCCACGTTTGCAATTGTTTAGGTTTTTGTGTGGGTCCTGGAGGGTGGAGAGGATGCCAGGCTGAGGCTTTTGTACCCAGAGGGGTTTGGGGAGTGGGGTGGGGCTGGCCCAGCTTCTTGCTGAGTTTTCTTTCTGTCTCTTTGGATTAAAAGCAGAAATTCCCATCTGTATACCCCAGCCAAGGTCCCACAGGCTGAAAGGCTGGGGGCGGAGGAACCACATGGCTTCAGTCCCTCCAAGAGCCAGGCTTGGGGGAGGGGCCAGAGCCCACCCCGCAGATCCTCTACCCTCCGGGCACCAGACACAAGGGAAGGACCCCAGGCTCCCTGGGGTGGACGTCACTTCCCCTAGACACCAGCAGAGGGCACTGCCTCTTCACACACACAGTCTTGCTGGCCAAAACACTGAACACACAGGGTGGACTCCAGGGACTGGCTACTTGGCAACACCCATCAAAGGCTCCACTTTGTGACTGAGGAGTAGGTCGGGGGGGGGGTTCTTCTGTAGGCACAGGACACAGATGGGAGTCCTGGAAGTCTTATCGGGGGCCTCTCTTAGGTTCTGTGCCACAGACTTTGGTCTGCAGGGACAGGCAGCGCCAACTACAGAGCACACACCAAATACTGACTCATTCCACCCTTATCCCAACTCCACACTGATGCCAGGTGCAGAGAGGAAGGGTGGCCTGCCTCAAGCCACATAACCCTCGGGTGACAAAGTCAGAACTCTGTGCAGCCAGTCAGGAATACCTGTGCCCTATCATAATGGGGTGAGGGCCCTGGGCAGCTCGAGTTGCCACTTTTCCAAAGAAGTCAGAAATCCACTCAGGATTTCCTGTAAAAATTTTTAATATTTGAAACCCTGTTGATCTGAGTTGTGGCTCAGTGGTAGAGCATTTGCCTAGCTTGTGCGAGGCCCTGGGTTCCTTCCTCAGCACCAAAAACAACAATAGAGCCCCCAAGACAGCCAGGCCTATATAGTGGCACACTCCTGCAATCCCAGCACCGGGGAGGCTGAAGCAGGAGGATCATGAGTTCAAGCCCAGCCTGGACTTCACAGGAAGACCCTGTCTCAAAAAACTCATACAACAAAGTCCCACTCAAACCACAACTATTCCAGCATTATGTCTCAGCTTATGCCTGTAGGCTGGATCTGCCTCTCAGGTTCTGGTTTAGGGTTGCAAGGAGGTGTCCACTGTGAGATGGAGACACTGAGTGCCAGAATTAGAAACAGCTTCAGAGAAGCCAGGCACGGTAGCTCACACCTGTCCTTCCACCTACTTGAAAGACTGAGGGCGGAAGATCACTTTAGGCCAGGAGTACAAGACCAGCCGGGCAACATAGTGAGAACTTCTCTTTAAAAAAATAAATAAAGCCAGTGGCTCACACCTGTAATCCTAGCTACTTGGGAGGCTGAGGTCAGGAGGATCTTGGCTTGAGGGCAGCCCATAGTTCCTGAGACTCCATCTCCAAAATAACCAGAGCAAAATGGACAGGAAATGTGGCTTAAGTGGTAGAATGCCTGAGTTTCAAGAGCAAAGCCCTAAATTCAAACCCCAGTCCCACCAAAATAATAATAATAATAATAATAATAAAATAAGAACAAGAAAAAGAGATCCTAAATCTGATGTGCACTGCTCAATGCAGTGGCTGAGAGCATGTGTGATTGCTGAGCATTTGCAATATGGCATGTCACCAGGACTGAATTTTTCTTTAATTAATATAAATGCACACAGCTGCATGTGGCCAGTGGCCACCCATGGTGGATGGGGCAGATGAAGGGCATTAGGGAGCACCACAGGGGCCACAGGGATGGGTGCTGCTGGCTGGCAGAGATGCTGAGTGTCTGCTGTGCTGGACAGTTCATACAAAGATGACTTTCCCTCTTTTTTTTTTTTTTTTTTTCAGTACTGGGGTCTGAACTCAGGGCCTACACCTTGAACCACCCCAGCAGCCCTTTTCTGTGAAGGGTTTTTCGAGATAGGGTTTCATGAACTATTTGTCTAGGCTGGCTTTGAACTGCGATCCTCCTGATCTCTGCCTCCTGAGTAGCTAGGATTACAGGCATGAGCCACCAGCGCCCAGCATATCTTCCCTCCTTCTGCGTACAGAGGCTCTGGGGCCTGGCTACCAAGGTAGAAACCCAGGACTGAGCATCCCCACAGGTGAAAAGAGGCCAGATCAGCTGCCAGCTCCTGAGTTTCTGCTCCAACCTGGGTGTTCTTGAGACCTGAGGGTGACTACACAGGAGCCCTGGCACCACTGGCCCCAAGCTGGGGGATCCCACTGCTGCTCCTCTCCCTCCGTGCCCTATCTGCCTGTGGCACACCACGCCAAGGCCCCAGGATGGTCCTTTAGGGCTGTTCCCTGAGCTTAAGAGGCAGGGGGACAACCGCCTGGCCTCAGGCTGGGGCCTCCCCAGAGGATGAAGAACAGTTCCAGGCCTTCAGCTAGGGACAAAGGCAGCTCCGAGGGGACTCTGCATGCCTTCCCACAGGTTCTAGGAATGGAGGAGCTGCTGCCAGCACCCAGCAGCTTTCTCTCGTTCAGCCCTCCCTGCTTCCTGAGCCAGGTCCAAAATTGATTAAAACTAAGTAAAGAGCACTGCCCAGGGAATGACAAAATTGCTAAAATTCTCTTTTCTTCCCTCATTCTATTGTTCTCTCTCCATCTGGTGCTCCAGGGATCAGCTAAAGTCACTGGTTACTGTGGAAACCACCCCCAACTGTACCCCCGCAGCCACTGCCTGCCCTGTGTCCAGCTCTGGCTCCCCCTTCCCTGTGCAGACACACCTGCCTGCTCAGGGCCCTGGACCCTGATGGGCCAGCCAGCGGGGACTCCTTCCCTCACTGCCAGGGGCCTGAGATGGGGAACAGGAGGGAGAGAAACTTCCCCCAACTTGTGTCAAACTCTAACTTGGCCTCAAAAATGTCCAAGCCAAGTGAGCAGAGAAAGTGAAGAAGGAGGGAAACCAGGGTGAGTGGGGAGGGCCGGGCAGCGGTGGAGCACGGAGCATGCGCACTGCATAGGGAGGAAAGGAGGGCGCAATGGAGCCTGGCCTCCGGTGCCAGCCCAGAGCTGGCAGGGGAGGCGGCCTGCTGCCCCTTCCTCTGGCACCCCCTCCCGCCCTCTGCCAGCAGGGCCCTCTCGGCTTCCCTGGCACAGAGCAGAGGGGGCTGGCTCCAGCCCCTGCTCAGAGCCATTGTTTTTCTTCTCAACACCCCCAAGTTCAAGTTCATCTGGGTGTTACATCATGTCTGGTTGCTCCTGGAAACCAGACGGGTCAGACGTGACTCTGGGGAAAGGGGGTGGGAAGCTGGAGGGGTTGAAGCTCCCTTCCCCTCCCCTTCTTGCCACTAGGGAGCTCTGAAGTTTGACAAAGTTTTTTGGCTTTTTTTTTCCTTGAGAAAAGTAAAAGAGAGAGAGGAAGGAGAGAGAGGGAGGGAGGAGAGAGAGAGGGAGGAGAGAGAGAGAGAGAGAGAGAGAGAGAGAGGAAGGAAGGAATGAAGGAAGGAAGGAAGGAAGGAAGGAAGGAAACCTCAAAACATACACACAAAGCTTCCATCAGCAACTTAGCAACTTTCTCTGGCCTGGGGCCTCAAAGCAGAGGCGGAGCTGGAGCCCGAGCTAACAGAGGTGGCCCTGGGGCCTCTGGGTAGAGGTGGGTTTCCCAGGGTTGAGGAAGCTTGTGAGGAGGTGCTTTTGTAAAATGTGCAAAAGAAAGACATCTGTGTGCTCTCTTCTGCAATGTCAGGCTGTGAAAGCCTGGGCCCTCTGGCATGCTTCTGCCCTACTCCTAAGGTGGGTCCTCCCTTGCCCCCCAAGAGCCCTGAGTTCTACCAGCTAGCCCCAGCTTCTCTGGAGACAGGCATGCAGGGGCACCCACATGTGCACATATGCACCCATGTACGTGTGAGGCAGAGTCCTGGGGCCTTGGGCTGGAGGGCAGAGGTTGAGCTTGTCTAGTGAGAAGTGGGGTGGTATCAGCAGGAGATGGAGGAGGACTGGGGAGCTCCAGCAACCTAGCCTTCCCCTAACAGGACTCCTGGGGGTTTGGGAGAGGGACCCAGGGCAGCAGCCTGCCCTGCCCTTCCCTTGGTGCCAGTCTTTGGGCACATGGCCCACTAGGTCCACTGTGTCCCTCCTCCACCCCCCGTGCCTGGCCCACCCAAAGCCAGGGAAGCCAGGAGGGCCAGGGGCCAGAGCTTCCAGCCCAAGTAGAGTGGGAGGGGCTGGAGGAGAGCAGGAGGCTGAGCCTTCCTCCTCCAGCCAGAGCCTCAGCCTTCCATCTTTGCTTCCACCAGGCCTGGCTCAGAGCGCCTCTAGCCTTAGGTCCTTGGCCGCCTTCCCCAGGGCAAGGACTGTCAGAGCTAATTATCCAATTAGCTGATTAGCCAGGGAGCCTGGGGGCTGCCTGGGGAGGCCGCTCAGCTGGGCGTGCAGAAGCCCAGGCCCCATGGCTCAGCCTGGCCCCCGCCCTGCTCAGCCTGAGGAAACCAGCCCGGCCCCGTGCCTGTGCTGCACCCAGGCCGTCTCCTACCTGAGACTGCTGTGGGATGTTCAGAAAGTTGCCGTCCCGGGGTCCGATGCTGACAAACCGGTTGGCAGAGGAGGCGCCTGTCGTTGCGAATGCTGTGGGGAGCAGGGGAGAGAGGGAGAGACCCCATCAGGCCGGGGGGCCTGCCTGGGCACTGCCCTTCCGGGCTGCTGAGAGAGGGAGAGACTGGGTTAGACTGTGCTGCGGGTGCAGGCCAGCAGTGGGAAGGACTTTCGAGGAGCTTGCGTTGCTGGAGGCCAGGCTCCAAGCCTGTCCCCCACGGAGACATCCCCTCACTGACCAGGAGCACACACCGCACCCCTCCCAGCACTGAGCCTCAGTCAGGCATCCTTGTTCATGGCCCAGGATGGGGAAGGGGTCCTGGAGGCTGCAACCAAGGTCCTCCAGACCTAGTTCTGTCCCCTACCAAAGACTCTGGACAGTGCTGGGAATAACCCTGGTTCACAGGTGCCCTCAGAGGGTGCCCTGGCTTTCCCATGTGAAACTGGGTGGCCTGGCCCCACCCTATGGGGGAGGCCTTCTCAGTCAGGCCACCTCTCTAGCCCCACTCTAGCCCCACATCCTCGCTGGGGCTGTACCACTTGCTGCAGTCCCCATGATTGGGGAGGTGGTTAAGGGCACCCAAAGGGTGCCAGTCAGGGCAGGGTCAGAGAGGGTGCTAGGGCCTGGATGCCTGGCTTGGGCCTTTTGCCCCAGAACCTGAGATGGGTCAACGTGACACAGGAGGAGGTGGCCGCAGGGCCTTATGTAGCCCCAAAGCTCAGCTGCCTGGGGCAGCTGTCCTGTGACCCAAGGGGGCAAATGAACCCGACATTCTGGAGTTCCTCTGAGGCATCCAGCTGAAGCCCTACTAGAGGGAACAGGCCCTGCACCCCCTGGAGGGAAGATGTCCCCAGAAGGGATATGGAGTATCACAGGTTGCCTGGGAAGCCCAGCCCTGCCCTACACCAGACATACCCAGGGACCCTGTGCTCACCAGATTCTGTCCAAATCTCTCCAGAAGTGCCTCCCACCCACCCACCCACCTCAGATGACTGTGAACATGACTTCGTGTCTTATGGCAGATGCAGATGAAAAGATGGCATGAAGAGGGTGGGGAGGGGAAGAGAACTCAAACCATGAGAGGGAAGGAGAGACAGAGAGCGCCAACAGACAGCAGTGTGAGATGGGCTGCCACCCACCACTCGAAGGTCCCCCGCCTGTGGCCTGTGAGCCAGGAGCCCTGCCCACCCTGCTCCCTCCTGCAGACAGCGCCTGCCCGCCTGTCCTCTGCCTCTCTGTTCTTCACGTCGGGTCTACCTGGGGCCTCTCCACTCAATTTTTCTTCTCTTCCCTTTGACAAAATTTGTCATTGTTTTTAAAGGGGGGGGAAAAGAAACAAAGAAAAGAAAGAGAAAGAGAGAGATGAAGTCAGCCGAGGCCCAGAGTCCCCCCCTTGTCCACGGAAAATCCAACCTGGGAAAGGAACTGAGGGAGAGGGAAGGGTAAGGGATGGGAGGAGGGAAAAAAAAAAAAAAGGAAAGAAAGAGGAACAACGAGAGAAACCAAATGCGAGACTGAGGGGGAAAGGGCCTCTTGTGTCTTTAGAGGCCCAAGGGCTGAGGACCGGGAATGGAGGTGAGGGGGGCAAGGCAAAAAGGGGATGGTGGTGGCGTCGCCTTGTGGTTACATTGAATTTTCTTGGTGTGTGTAAGGAAACAACGAAACAACAAAAAAAATTTTTTTGAAAAACAAAAAAAAAAAAAACCAAAAAACAAAAACCAAAAAACAAAAAAACAGCAATCAGGCATGAAGATGGCATGGCTGCGCCTCCCGCCCACCCACCCGTGCCAGCACCCAAAGCCCGGTGCCCCACCGTGCTGTACTCTCCCTCCCGCCCCCCAGGGGGGGCAGCGGGCAGGGGCTCATGGGGTGCTGGCTGGTGCAACTGCAGCCCGGGAGGCCGAGGCTGGGGGCTGGGCCCTGCTCTTGTCTGAGGCGTTCTGGGTGGGGGGCCTGGTGTGAGGGGGGCTGGCCCCTCATTTTGCAGTGGAAACTGTGTGGATGGGAGGCTGGGCGCTGTGGTTTCGGTTTCATCGTCCACTTACAAGGTGATGGAGGAGTCAAGGCGGCGCCGTCTGGGGCAGTGCTGGTGGATTTGGAATCAGGCATAGGAAGGGGCACAGGTCTGGCCACTGGAGGCGGCGGCGGTAGCAAAAATGACCCCGGGACTTTGCCCTGGCCGCTACCGTTGGGCTGCGAACAACATAAATAGAGTGACGCATGAAGGTACATCACACAGACACACGCTCCCCTGCGCGGCCTCCTCAGAGCGGCGCTCCCGTGGGAGATGCAGGAGTGGGAGGGTCATCTAGGCCAGGCTGGGCACAGGTGGTGAGGGAAGGCCTCTACTTGGTCTCTCGGGTGTTTCTCTCTCTTCTCTCTCTCTCTCTCTTTTTTTTTTTTTTTTGATGTAGTGGGAGGGAGGGAGGGGATGTCCGACGGGTGATTCGTTACTTCTTAAGGAAAATGTTTTAGGTACAGAAATTTGCCACCTAGCAATGTGCTTCCGAGGACCTCCCACAGCAGGAGAGACGAGCCAGCTCACCCCCATGTCCCCAAAGGCCCACGGTGCCTCCCTCCGTGGGCCCAGCCTGGGCTGCTGACCAGCCAAGGCCTCTGTCTCCAGAGCCTGCAGACCTTCCTCTAGAGAGAAAAGTGGGGTGCTGGCCTTTCTCTAGAGACCAGCCAGGGAAGAAAACGTGCCGCTGCTGGCTCCAGTTTTTGTGACGTTCTTCAAGAGGGTGTCCCTGGACGCTTTCAGGAGCCAGAGAGTTCGCCACCCAGGATCCACTACTTGTCCTTTGTGCCCTCTTTGGCCTCAAACTGGAGTTTCCTTTGTGCCTGGCCATGCGTGATCAGCCTGCTGGCTTCAGAGAACATAGGCGCCACCCTGCCTCTCACTGGCATGGTTTTCCTGGAAAGTTCTGGCCCGTGCCTCCTGATGTTCAAGACGCCCTTGACATCCACCTGTAGCCAGGGCTCAGGGAAGCCAGGCCCCAGCTCTTCATCCTCTCCTGTGAGGCAGAGGTCAGCCCTCCTGGTCACCCAGGTACAAGACCTAGGGGTCCCTGTCCTCCTCTCTCTATGAGTAGGCAGACCCCAGAGTCTGCCCGATTCATGTTTCCCAGTAGACCATCATTCCATCCTCATTCATGTCACCTGGAATGTAACAATGAGACTCCCCTCTGCGAAGACAGCAGGCTCACCAGCTCAGTGCACTCGGTGTTCTGCCTTTCACTTGCACTGTGTCACCTGCCAATCATCCCACCAGGTAGCAATTTTCACCTGGGGGGCTCTCCTCCCCCAGGAAACACTGGCAGTATCTAGAGACATTTGTGGGGCCTGGTGGTTGCTACTAACATCAAGTGGGTGAGGCCAGAGGTGCAGCTCTGCAGGACAAAGGAGCATCTGTCCAAAGATCACCAATGCTGTTGTGACTACAGAGGGAGTTTTATCCCACCCACTTAGCTGAAGGAATGGAGGCTCTGAGTAACTAAGTGGTTCATCCAGTCACCCACCGACAATAAATGGCCAGGCCTGAAATTCACAGCCATGTCTGTCTGACCCTAGAGTTCCTGCAGATTCTCTCTAGCAAACATCAGCCCTCTCTTCAAATGCAGGTTAGCTCAGATTTCTCCAAAACCTTCCACCACTCCACCACAGCAGTACACAGGTAAGACACAATCTCCCCAGTGAGCTTCTCAAAGCCCCCACAGTGGGGCCCATAGCCCCCACCTTCCTTTAGGCATTTCTTAGTCCAAGCTGACTGGTGTTTCCAGAACACAGGCTGAGCAGCTGGGGCTGCTCACCGCAGAGCCCTCTTTTGGGGCACTCTTCCCACACTCCTCAAGGCCTGCTCAGAAAACACCATCCGTTCCCGGGTACCAGCCAGATTCCCTGAGTCACACCCACCTCTGCCCTGCTGTTCCAAGACACTCTTGACCACTGCCCTTGACCTCCAGACTTCCACAAGCCGACAGAAGCATGCAGCACTCAAATTGTACTGGTCAGGTGGGATTGTCTCTCCCATCCTGCCCCACTTTAAAGACACAGAGCCCTAGAGCTGGCCTGTGCAGGTCCTTTGTTCCTAACAACCGGCACCAAGGTCTGATGCACTGTCCCTCTAACTGCCTCCCTCCACTGTTCTGCCCATTCTTAGGGTGACAATTCAGAAGCCTCTGACAAAAGCAGGCTGTGGTTGCCAGTCCGGTCTGGGTCTTGGGCTGGTGTCACTTTGGAAAGGGACACTTTGGGTACAGGAAGCAGCAGGGTCAAAAGACAGGCCACGATTCCAGCTCTGCAGGGTGACACAGTGCACCAAGCCTGTCTGCTTCCTGCCTTTCTTGGCAGGCAGGAAAGGGAGTAATCTTGCAGACCACCACCTTACTCCTCTCTGGGCTCCTGAGGCTGGACACCAGGCCTTCCAGGCGATGTGTGCAGCCGCAGAGTGGCCTTGGCCTCCTTCCACAGCCTATCTCTCCCAAAAGGATCTAAAGTGCTAATTCTACCCGATAGGGCTAATCCCCGCCTGCCGAATAGGAGTGGGCCCTGGAACCCACTGATTTATGACACTCCGCTTCTGGAAGTAACTTTCATCCAGGCTGGAATGTCTGAGCTCAGGTTTGAGTATGAGTCTAGGTGCTAAAAGTCTCAAGGCTGCTGGGCGCCAGCTCACACACACCTGTAATCCCTGCTACTCAGGAGGCAGAGGTCAGGAGGATAGCAGTTCAAAGCCAGCCTGGGCAAATAGTTCACAAGACCCTACCTTGAAAAAAACCCATCACCAAAAAGGGCTATTGGAGTGGCTCAAGTGGTAGAGTGCCTGCCTAACAAGCATGAGGCTCTGAGTTCAAGCCCCAGTGCCACCAAAAAAAAAAAAAAAAAAAGCCTCATGGTGACTCTGCATTACCTTAATCCTCATCGCCCTCTCAGGTCAGGAGTAAGAAGGAATCTGGAAGCCAGCAGGTGCCTCACTTCCATCTTATACAGTCATGGGGCTGGCTGTCTGAGAATGGGTGGCCACAGCTGAGTCAGAACCTGTCTTCCTGCTTCCTGGAGCCTTGCTCTCCCATCAGGTTGTGACTGCTCCACTGAGTTCATTTGACCATCTCTTCTCTCCCAGAAACAGAGCTACCCAGGCCTCTTTCAGCCTTTTGCATTTCCTCCATTTGGTTTGTTGAAACCAGTGCCTGACCCAGGGGCTCCAAGGATCTCCGTGCCTTTGAACACTTCTGCAATTATCTGTAAACATTTCCTGTGTAGATTTTTCCTGCAAAGCAGGTCTGTAGCTTCGGATTCCCAAGGGGGTTAGGAAGCTATTTCTCTAGCCCTAGATCCTTCTCAAAGTGGCTGCCTTGGTCAGCAGCACGAGCAGCACCCCCCCGGGGGAGAAATGCAGATGGTCAGGCCCAGGCTCAGACCTGCTGGAACTGGGCTGAAGCCCAGCCACCTGTGTGTCCGTGAGGTCAGAGAATAACTCTTGCACACACCAAGTCTGAGAACTTCTGGCTGCTCTAACGGTGGCCAGGGAGAGGACACAGTCTATCCTCTGGATCTTCCTCTGAGAAGCTGGGTGGGGGCCCCTCGCAATAGGTTCCCTGCAGAGCCCCTCCTTCTCTCTTGAACTCAGGCTATGGAGACTCCCAGCCTGCTACATGCTGTCTGCTTCCTCAGGCGCCTGTCTGTGTCCCTATCTTCCGTGTTTCGTCTGCGGCCCATTGGAGCAAGTGCCTATCTGTAGAGGAGAACCTTCTAGGCAAACTGAGCCCCAGTCTCAGACAGTCAGGTCAAGGGCGAGGCCCAGGACGCAGCCTGCAGGAGAGCAGGGCCTAGATGACCCTCCTTTGCCAAGGGCCCTGGGTTAGGGGGTGGCACCATGTATTACTCTAGTTCCTGGGCCTGGTTTGTCTGCACGCCAAACCCACCTGCTTCTGCAGGTGATAAGGCAGGCAAAGATAGTTCCTGGCCATAGGCTGGCGACTTCCTATAGACTGTTGTGTCTCTGAGGGAAGTACGAGGTCAGGTACACCCCTCCATGCCCCTAAGGGTGGACAGAGCTTGTCCAGACAGGCGAGCAAGGCACACAGTGTGCAGAGGAGAGGCAGAGTCAAACAAGAGAAAGCCTCATGGGGCGGAAGGGGAAAGGAGGCAGGACAGAGGAAGGAGGGAGAGCAGGAGGGAGGGAAGAGGACTGGCTTCCTATGATGGACAGAGAACCAGGAGGCCTTGCCACGGCCCTGCCCCCAGTCATACTGCAGCCCTAGCAGAATGCCCACTGTGCAGAGCGCGATGAGGCAGGCAGCCTGGCTGAGCATCAGAAGGCAGCTGGTTGCTCCTGCCTGGGCCGCCTCTGGTGTGGGCTGCCCGAACGCACCTTTCCCGACACTTTGGGCATCCTCCCTGACTTATAGCAGGCTTCCAAGGCCATGGCTGGCTGAGGACAGCTGGAGTTTCTCTCAGCCCAGCACACTTGAGAGCCCACCATGTCCCAACCTGGAGTGGCCCCCCAGGGACTGAATGTGTCCCATGTTAAGAGTCTTCTGGGATTATCACCTTCAGGAAAAATCCCTTTGTTGAGTGGCCCCCAAGTTTGCTTGGCTAGTGACCTAGCCCTGGGCTCAGTGATGGAGAAGGGTTTGGTGGGGAGTCCTTCTGTCCTTCCGAGCCGAGTAGCAGGAGGGCTTTGCTCTAGAACCAGATGGTCTGGGGACCCTACCTTAAGAGTGCTGCCACAGGACTGTCCGTGTCAGTTCTAGACTGGGTCTTTCTCTCCCCAGCGCTTCTTACCTGCTGACCCCTCCCTGCCCCAATCATTGCCGGTGGTGATTCTGATGACTGCAACTAGATAGGAAGGTGCTCCTGCCATCTCGCAGGTGGAGGCAGGGGTGCCACAAAACACCGCAGTGTCCAGGATGGCCTCACATCACAGAGAATAAACAGCCCCAAACGTCAACAGTGCCAAGATGGGCAACTCTGATCTAGAGTCTGCCAAATCCTTGTGCCCCTGGGGCTTCTGAGGGGTGTTAGGACAGATCACAAACTCACTCCTGCTAGGAGGACAAGGAGCCTGAGCAGGGGACTCAGCCACTGCCCCCCCACCTCTCCAGGCCCAGGCATACAGCTTAGATCCTTGCCCCTGGGCCCAGAAGTTCAGCTTGTGTATGACTGGCTTCCTGCTGCTCCAGCACCAGGTGGGCTCCTGGCTTTCGGCCCCTGTCCCTGTGAGTACTGAGACAGACAGAATGCAGAGACGAGGCTACAGCAGGGCTCTTGGGCCCCCTGGACTCACCTGTCCGGTGGCCTGGCCTGAGCCGTCTGAGCACACAAACTGCACAAACTCCTTCAGCGAGTCCTGCCCATGGTGGTGGTGGTAGCGGATGGTCGGGTGCGTGAAGTATGGGCTCGACTGCTGGATGATGGACGTAGAGGGGAAGTGCAGCGCAGATGCTGTGGCCCGGGGGCTCCCTGCATGCAGGAGGGCAGAGAGGGAAAAGGTCAGGGCTAAGATGGCAGACGTGTGGGGAAGGAGGAGGGAGGATGGGGCCAGGGCCGGGAGAGGCAGGCAAGGCACTGGTCTGGGGCACAAAAACCTCAGACGTTGAGAGGAATGAATCTGAATGAATCTAAAATAGGTAATAATCAAACCAGCAGACTGGGGCCTGAGGGTCAGCCACTTGTTTCCATAAATAAACTTTAACTGGAGCCAGGGTGAGGATTGGGACGAGGCAGATAAGGGAGTGTCCTGCAAGGACGGGTGTGAGTTTGTTTAAAATATTGTTTGCTTAGCATATATTTTTTGTTGGTGGTGGTGTGTGTGTGTGTGTGGTGTGTGTGTGTGTGTTTTGTTTTTATTTTTGAGATAGGATCTTGGTATGTAGCTCAGGCTGGCCTCAAATTCTCAATCCTGCCTCAGTGTCCCAAATGCTGGGATTGTAGGCATGCACCATTTTGCCTGGCCTTGTCATATGATTTTTTTGCAACAGTTTTGATTTTTAAAAAGTAGTGTATTACAATATTACTTATATTCTATCTGCCAATCATCAGCATTACCTGGGAAGTTTTTTTGGGGGTGTGTGTTAACAGTACTTGGGTTTGAACTCAGGGCCCCATGCTTGCTAGAAGCAGGCACTCTGCCACTTGAGCCACTCCGCCAGCAATATTACTTATTTTGATGACTGAGTTTTTGGCCTCTCCTGACAATTTTCTACTCAAAGCCAGTTTCACTCACTGTGCCCTGGCCCAGGCCTGGGGTGGGAGGCTGGGTGAGGGACGTGACAGGAGACAGATGGCACCCGGGCTCTGGATAAAGACATAGCCGAGCCTGGTAGGATGGGCACCTGGAACAGCATTTGAATCCCCCAGTGTGAGCCACCTTCATGTGCACATCATCGCATGCATATGTGCTCTCACACACACCATGCCTACCCCAGCGCAGGCCTCAGCTCTCCCAGAGTCCTCCCCCTCCTGTCTGTTTCTAATCAACTTGCTTTTGCTCTTGGTTTCATTAGGGGGCTGAGGAAACTTGGCTTCTCTCTGGAGTTCATAAAAACGGAGGAGTGAGGCGGCGGAGGGCGGGGGGCTACAGCCCTCCTGCTGCCTGCACAGGGTCTGTGCTCCCCGCCCCCACCTTGTGGCCACCACGCCCTGCCCTAGAGCCCCGCTGCCTCTGGGCTTGAGGCCAGGAGGCCCCAAGGAGGAAGCCAGGAGGTAAATCTCCCTGTTCTGTGTCCCATGGAAGAGAAGCCTGCTCAAGAGGCATCAGGCAGACCCAGGGCTGCATCCACACAAAGGCTAGGCCTCTGCCGCCAGATGGGTGCTGAGGGAGGCCAGCAGAAGTGAGGGAACAGCAGCTCCCCCAGCCTCCTGCTCAAGAAGATCCAGGTGTTGTCATAAGCATCTTCTGGCTGGGGAGACTGAAGTGGGAGATGTGCCCTCAAGCAGGCAGGCCAGCTCCCTTCCCTGGAGAGCAAGCCAGAAGTCACCTTTTCCCTAGTATCAGAGAAAGCAAGTGTTTCCCCAGCACACATGGCAGGAGCCTGGGTTCCTGAGCAACACCCTTTCCCCCCCACAGCAACCCCAGCTCCTGTTGGGAGAGCAGCTCCTGGCTCAGCTAGGCCTATGGGGAGCAAAGGAAGGTAGGGGAGAAGCCTGGCGGGTTGAAAGCCTGAGTGACCGACTGCATTGGCTGGAGGCTCTAGTGAGCTTGCATGCACACACCCCACGCAGGACTGCACACGGGGGTGACGGCATTGGGGGCACGCTTGCTCAGAAGCCAGGTGAGCAGGCCTGCATATAGAGGTGCTGCTGGGCAGGGGTTGTCCCCTGCCACCTGCTGCAGCACCCTCTGGGCCATTCAAGAATCAGTCCTGGCCCCTGCACCTGGCCAGCTGCCTCTGGAACTCTGCCGCCTCCCGTCTCACCCCTTCCCTGGCGGGCCCCTGTTTCTCACCTGGTCTGACTCCAGCAAGCACAGGCAGCGGGTGGTGGGTGAAAGCCATGCGTGGGGAGCTGCCCTGAGAGGAGAGGGCACTGCAGAAGTCCAGCTTTCCTGACTTCTTTAGAGAAGCCGGGCCTGGGGGGAGGAAGCAGCAACACGGGCAGGTTTAGCAGGGCTAGGGTAGGAGCAGGGACAGGAAGCCAGCAGCTCACTCCTTCTCTTCTTGGTACCCCCATCACCCCTCTTCTCTACCAGGTGCTCTCCTGCTCTCTTTGCCTGTCCCACTCCTCCAGAGGCCCCAAGGCCCATGCAGGCTGGTGACAGGCGCTTCTGGCCAGAGGAAACCAAGACCCGCAGGTAATGTGGGGTGGCCTGCCCCCTGACAAACAGATAAGGGAATTAAAAGGGGAGGCAGGGCTGGAATGGAGGACGGGGTATAGGAGGAACCTCAAGGAGCCAAGTGGAGAGCCAGGAATAAGGAGGGGGGCAATGAAAGGGCCAGAGGGACAAGCCTGGGAAGGACAGGCTGGCATCTGTGGTGGAGTGCCCTGGGTCCTAGGTGGGAAGAAGTCAAGGGCCCTCAGCGAGACATGACATCCAATAGCAGGGTAGGGACAAGGGCCAGCAAGCCTCAAGGGCCCTGAGGACACAGCTTAAGCAGTGGGACTGTTAGGCTCCCTCAGAAACTGGGACTCTGCTCCACTCCTGGTACCTGGGAAGGAGACAGGGGCACAGAGACCCCATTTGAGCTCTGCCTCCAGCAGCCTGATGCTACCGACCAAAGGTACCTCTGCCCAGTGTCTGTGTCTGAAGGACAGTCTGACAAGCAGAGTCCTGTGAGCAGATTCTCCTGGGGAACTCATCCCCTGTCCTGGGGTGAGGTTCAAGCTTGGCCCAGGCTGGGAGGGGAAGAGGGAATGGATGCAGGCCTGAGCTGCCTTCTTTGAGGGACAAATCTTGTCAGTTGGGATGGGGGCAGGGGCTGTAGAACAGAGAAACCAAAGCCTCTTCAGCAGAGGGAGGAGGCGGAGAAGCAAGCTCCTGGCCGCCAGCAGAGGTGTTATCTGGCAGCAGCTGTGTGCCACCTGATAGCTGGCACAGTGGGGAGGGGGGAGCGCCCCACCAGCTGTGCACAGCTGTCCTCGCTGCTGCACAGCGCCTCCCCAGCTGTTCCCAGTCCTGCAGCTGGGCGGCTTAATTGGTGATTTGTCGCAGCCCAGGGAAACGATGACAAGGAGGGGTGAGGAAGCTAGGGTGCTGCAGGAGGATGGTGGGGTGCTGTGCAGGCAGGACTGCTGGGAGAAGCAGAAATGGCAGGCAGGAGAACAGACAACAAGAAGACAGCAAAAGCTGGGAGCTGAGAACCAGGCCTGCGTGGAGGGGGCCTGGTACCTCTCCCAGGCCTGGTACTGCCCCCTGCAGTGGGCAGGCTCTCAGAGCACCTCAGCAGCAGTCCCTTCAGATGGAGTCACCTGGCTGAGGCCTAGAAGGACCAGGCCTGAGTCTCCAGTGTTCTCACCTCCCTCTCTGTGGGCCTCCAGAGACTCCCCCAAAAACACACATGCCTGCACTGGCCCAGTCCCTGCCTGCCACAAGGAAACCCCTGAAGGGGCACCCAGTCTTTGCTGGCAGTCCAAAAGGTCTCAAGCCCACTCCCTCAGCCCAAGGCCTGGAAACAAGCCCTCCCCTCTTCCATCCAGTGACTGAGAGCTGCAGACAGAGCCTGTGCTGTTCCCCCAGCCCCAGCCTCTGCCATACAAAGGGCTATTGGGTCAGACGCTGAGTCAGAACGAAGCTCCGTCCCCAGCCCCCAGTCTATGCAGAGTAGAACTGCCTGTGCACACCATGCATGAGCAGGTCTGCAAATCCCATGCCTCTCTGGTCTGTCAGGCCTCCTCACACACACGTGTCCGCACACAGGCTGTCCACAACCATGGTCAGCACTGGAAGTAAAGTGGTCAGCACTCGACAGGAAGGGGCTGCTCAGGGGGACAGGAAAGATCTCAGCTGGCTTCTTTTGGGCTCTTCACAACCTCTGTCCTTTGCCGTCTTCCCTGCCTGTTCTAAAAACAGCTCTGGCTGGAGGCATGGCTCAAGTGGTAAAGTTCCTGCCTAACAAGCTCGATGTCCTGAATTCAAATCCCAGTACAGCCAAAAAACAAAAACTAAAACCCCCTCTGCTCATTCTTCCACTGCTCTGGGCTCTATGTAAAAGGCAGCAGTTCTCAGGCCAGGACAATTCTGTCACCCCTGGAGTGTGTTTGGCAATGTCTGCAGACATTTTTGGTCATCAAAACAGGGTGGCTGGGTGTGGTGGTACAAGCCTATAATCCCAGCACTTGGGAAGCTGAGGCAGGAGGATCTTGACTTTGAGGCCAACCTGGGCTCCACAGCCAACCCTGTCTCAACAACAATCACAGACCTGGGGTGGAAGTTTGCCACTGGCCCCTGTGGATGAGACCAAAGATGCTGCTTGGCATCTCCATCACACAGGGCAGCCCCACCCCAGACAACCATGAGGCCTCAAATGCCACTGAGGTATTTGATAAAGCAGTTGGGAAAACTGCTTTAAATCAGGAGGACCACAGGGCTGGCAAAGCTCTCCAGAGAAAAACCAAGAGAAAGACACTCAGGAGGCTGTGAAGTAGAGGCATGGCCCCCCACTGCAGGGCACCAGAGACCTGGTGGCCTCTCTGTACCCCCCTGCCCAGGGGCCTGTGGCCAACTCCTAAGAGGCCTGGCTCTTTGCCCTACTCCACTCCTTCAGCCTAACCTGCCCTCCTCAGGCCAGGATGGAGAGATGGCAGTGCCAACTGAGAGTGGGGGAGCTGATAGGAAGCTTGGGCTGCCCTTGGCCCGGCTGCCATGTCCATACCTGCATCCACGTCGTTGGGCCACCCACTGGACTGGCTGCTGCCGGCTGCAGGGGAGCGGCCTGTCCCAGGATAGAATACGTCGTCAACAGGGCTCTCCATCTCACTGTCATCGATGGACTTGGGGCGCTTGGTGGTGCTGGGGAAGGAGGAGAGAGTCAGGTGGGCGAGGCTCCAGGGAGTCTCCTAGTACTCAGGCCAAGGAGCGGCACACTGATGGCCCTCTCTGCAGAGTGGGTGCTGCCCACACAGGTACTCCTGGGCTCTCACTCACAGGACACCCAGCTCTGAGACCTGCCCTCTGGCTCCCTACTCTCTAGAGTGAGGCAGCTCCAAACCTGCTCCTCCTCAAACCCCTCACCGGCCACTGAGGCTGCTCAAAGAAGTGGGCAAGCTGGACACTGGTGGCTCTCGCCTGGAATCCCAGCTACTCAGGAGGCAGAGATGAGGAGGATCAAGGTTCAAAGCCAGCCTGGGCAAAAGGTTCACAAGACCCTATCTTAAAAAAACCCTTCACAAAAAAGGGCTGGTGGAGTGGCTCAAGGTGAAGACCCTGAGTTCAAACTCCAGTACTGCAAAAATAAATAAATAAACAAACAAACAAACAAATAAATAAATAAATGTGTCAATGCAACATTTTAAAAAATCAAAATGAATACCAAAAAGCTCATAGTGAGCAAAAATGTCCCAGTATTAACAAAGAACGGGACTCAATCCTCTCCTGCAAGACTCACCATAACCCAGCTATTTCCACACAGGGCATCTCTAAACCCCTCTTCCCCCCAACCAAGACTCCCTGGCAGGACAGCCTCCTCACTGCTGTCAGCTCCACCCATAGGCGGCTGCTGAGGGAGCGTTCTGGAACACACATTCCCAGTATGCCCTGCTGGGAGCCATCGGTGAGGGCCAGGCACGATGACTCCAGCCTGTAATCCCAGCAACTCAGGAGGCAGAGACTGGAGAGACTGAGGTTCGAGGTCAGCCTGGCAACAACAAGTAAAGCCAGGCAAGGTGGCACGTGCCTGTCATCCCAGCTACATGGGAGACATAAGTAGGAGGATGGAAGTCCCAGGCTGGCCACAGGAAAAAATTGAGGCCCTGTTTGATAAACAGATAATGAGTGGCTCAAGTAAAGTGCCAGCAGGTGGAAGGCCTTGAGTTCAAACACAGTATCAAAAATCCAAAAAGAAGCTGGGCACCTGTGACTCACGCCTATAATCCCAGCTACTCAGGAGGCGGAGATCAGGAGGATTGGGGTTTGAAGCAAGCCCAGGCAAATAGTTCAGGAGACCCTATCTCGAAAAACCCTTCACAAAAAAGGGCTGGTGAAGTGGCTCAAGTGGTAGAGCACCTGCCTAGCAAGAATGAGGCCCTGAGTTCAAGCCCTAGTTCCTCCCCTCTTCTCCAAAAAAAAAAAACACCCAGAAAGAACCTTCAGTGGATTCCACGGTCATGATGAAGTCCACAAGCCTACTTCTGCTCTCTAAGCCTCTCCACCAGCCTGTCCATTTGTGACTATCCTGGTCACAAATGGTATCCTGGTATAGTATGGTGCCTCACACCAGCCCCCTGTGAGTCACCTCCCCACGAGAGGCCTTCTCAGATCCCCACTTCCAGGCAGAGCCATGCCTTGTACGGGTTTGTGTCTCCAGGGCCACAGACTTCATGACAGCATGAAGCAGGAAGTTTAGTGAGTGGCTGAGCACAATGGACCCAAGCCATGTGAGAGCCAGTCCCATCAACAAGGGTGACATCCTAATGTTCCCAGACCTGGGTGGGACAGCTGTCCCAGTGACAGGGGGAGGAGGGGACTGAGGCGGTAGGGGCAAGAAAGCAACTGCACTGGGCTCACCTGGTGGAAGGAGGGGAGGTGATGGACCGCCGCCCCAGGGTCACCTGGTTTATATTGTAGTAGCTGGGACTCTCCAGGTCTGCCAGTGAGAAGTTGGGCCCTGATGCTGTCGCAACAGGAGCTGGGAAGAATGAGAGGGTGGTGAGGCTGGGGAAGTGCCAGTGCAGGCCCATGGGGCTGTTTGGTTGCCATGCACAGCTTCCCGGAAAGCTGGGGAGAGCTCGCTGTGGGGCCACAGGACAGGGACAGTGGCCACTGCACTGTTGACGAAACATCCTCCTGGCTAGGGCTGGTGATGAAGGAAGGGCCAACGGTGCAATTCTTTCGCTCCAAAGTAGCAGGGGCTGGAGACTTAGAGATGGGACTCTCTGGACAGTTCCACCCAATCCAACTCGGGCACTGGGGCAGAACAGTCTCACCTCCTCACCCCAACCCGGGTCCCTGGCACAGATGGAGGGACTCACTTACTCTGTGATACTCTCACCAGCTCCGTCACGTTCCAGACCCCGGAAGTCACAAAACAGTCCTGGAAACTTAAGTGCCCTGAAGAAGGGAAAAGTGCTGGTGAGGGTGAGTGGAGGCAAGGCTGGGAGGTGCCACCTGCCTGCTTCTGCAAAGCTCTTCCCCACAGTGCCTCCCTCCCCTCTCCTGAGCTCTGTCGGCTTCCAAGTTCCTCTGAAGAGGGGGCAGGTGCCCAGCGACCCCCTCTCCTCAGATGGCAGCTCAGTGCCAGGGAGAGCAACCGGGACCTGGGTTGGGGAGGTGGGAAGGGGACACTGACCGTTGGGCAGTGGTTTGATGTCCGCATCTCCTTGCTGGTTTGAACTATCTGATTGTCCGGATTCTGCAGGAGACACAAAAGGGAGGCTAGGTCAGGAGCAAACCTTTGCACAGCCACTGGACAAGGGGAACCCTCCGGCTTTGTGTGGACAGTGGCCTACCCTGTGCAGCAGACCCTCACCCAGCCCCTGGGGCCAGCCCAGTGGAGGGGAGGGAGGAAGGGTACACACAGATGGCGCGGAGGGGGTGCAGGGAGTCCCGTGTACTGCAGGGTGTTCAATAACATCCCTGGCCTCCGCCCACTAGGTGCCAGCAGCACTCCAGTTGTGATGACCCAAACTGTCTCCAGACTGCCCAATGTGCCCTAAGGGACAAAGTCACCCATGGGTGAAGAGTACTGGCCAAAAGTCAGAAGCCAGGAAGGGTGCTCAAGAGAGAAGCCAATGACAGGCAATGTCCACAGCTGGGGTAAACCCAAGGGGCCCCCTCCCCCACTGGGCCCAAGTTCCTAGGGGAGTGTCCCTGTCCCTAACGTCATTAATTAAAGCCATTCCCTAGGTCTACGCCTCCCCCGCCTCACCTTTATGCTCACAGGCAGTGCCTGGCAACCCAGAGGGGGAGGTGTGTCCTGCTGCCGCCTGCTCTGTGCCAGCCTGTCTGGGCTGTCTCATGCCCCAGTGCCACAGCTGCTCAGAGGGAGCCCCAAGACAAGGGCCCATTGTGCGGTAGGAGCTCACAGAGGGCTGGGGGCAGGGTGCAGTGTGTGTGTGAATATTTTTCTGAGCTTGGGAAAGCCCCCCACCCCCGCCCCCAGGTCCTCAAAGCTTTGTGTGCCAGGGGCACGACAGGGACCTCCAGCATGCCTGCCCGGGCATGACAGCTGGCAAGAGGGTGGGGGTGCCAGGGCAGGTTGTGGGGCAGGAGGAAGGCAGGCACTTGGGGAAGAATCAGTGGCTTTGGAGGCCATGGGGGTGGCATCTTAACTGTGCCCTGGAGCTGCCTAGGGCTTTGCCAGGCTCTTCAGAGTGGCCCTAACTCTTGGGTCTTGCCCACAATCCCACGTCCAGCCTGCTGGGCCCTCAGGAGAGAAGAAAGAGCTGGGTGCTGGGCTGGAGGCAGCTCCTGTCCCGGAGTCATGGGGCTGAGAGCATTGGCCAAGCTCCTGGCTGGCTGGCTGCCTCCGTGTGACAGGTGGAAAAGGGCCACGGTTTGGGGCCCTGCTCTTCCCATCCTCTACCTTTTTTCATTTGAAAAAAAAAAATTCCAAACAATAATAATAATAATAATACATCTTGTTGTAATGAGTCAATAAAACAGAGCTCTTTCCCCCAATTTGGGGTGTACCCTTCTGTACTTCCCTTTTCACATGGGGACTGTAAGAGCAGATCCCACAGTGGGCCATCTCTTTGTTGGTGGCACATTCTCCTGGGAGCCACAGGACCTCCTGCATGCCCCCTGGCAGGGCCACTTCTCTGTGCCCAAGCATCACCTGGCCATGAGTTTTCTTGTCACTCTCTCGCCTTGGCCCACTCCTGGCTCTCTGGGTCTGTTTCATAGCCTGGCCCATCCAGGTGGGAGCAGAGAGGACTAGGTGGTAGGTGGCCTACTCCAAGGCTTCCTTGGACCCAGGCCCTGAGGCTCTCAATTCACAGCTAGGATGGGACTAGTGAGCAGAGCCCAGCTTGCACACAGCTCAGGCTCTGTTGCCCAGAGGTCCCAGCCCCCCAGTCCTGCAAGCCTGGGTCAGTGGAGTCGGGGCACAGAATCCACCCTACAGGAATGTTCTGGCCCACTTCAAGAGGCCAGAGGGAGAACTGTGTGCATGTGCTCGTGTATGTGGGTGCACACGCGCGCACCCAGCCAAGGGACAAAAAGAGGAGCGAACCCGACAAAGAGATGGAGGTGCGCCAGCCAGCGACTGAGGCAGAGACAAATGGGGCTCCAGGAGAGCGCGACAGACAGGAAATCCTTCTAAACCAGGACACTGCCTGACGGGGTAGTGCTTTTCCTACTGTTAGCTCCATGTAAAGGAGCAGGCAGCAGCAAGGACAGCGGGCAAGGCCACTGCCACGCGCCTCAAGGGCAGCTCTGGACGCTGCTGGCAGCCATCTTAGACCTTGGCAGCCATCTTACGCAGGCGGCCTCAGCCAGCAGCCCCACAATGCCACCACCGCCGTCCCCCCGATGTGCTCAGCTCAGCTCGAGGACAAAAGGCAGAGACACTGGAAGTCTGGACCTGCTCAGAGGCAAAGGAGCCAACCCTGCGATCTTGAGCAGCTACGGCCAGGGTACAGGGATCTGATGGCCTGTGCCATGGAAGGGACAGGGTGTCCAGGCCAGGGGTCTGGGGCTCCATTCAAGGCAGCCAAAGCCCTCATGGGCTGTGTTCAGTCCAGCAAGAGTGGTCCCCTGCCCGACAGGGCCATGGGGGCCTGGGGACAGTGAGGGATGTTAATACCCTGTCAGCTCAGAGATGCATCCTAGTCAGATGGGAGAAGGGGCTGGCAGGATCCCAGACAGGCCACTGGGCTGCAGGGGTCAGGCTCTAGGGAGGCCCAGATACAGGCTACCCGTGGCAAGGCAGAAGTGGGCTTTCTGGGAGCCCTGCCCCGGGTTTGGCCTGCCATGGACCCCAGGTACCAGGGGCTATGTCCTTTGCTAGCACGCTGTGGGCATCCCAAGCCTGGACCCTTTCCCTGTCTGGACTCCCTGAGGGAGGGGAGAACCCAGGATTTGGGACAGAGGGACAGAGAAGGAAGGCCCTTGCATGACACCCCTCCCCAGACGCCTCCTCGTGGCTGCTGGCTTTTATCTGGCAGAATGGGGCTTATCAGAGCCACCAGCTGAGCAAACACACAAATCCACAGTTAGTGAGAAAAAACACTCTGCCTGAACTCTTTATCTCCTGTTCACAGGCCCCACACACTGCCCACTGCCAACAGCACAGGAGGGGCCCTGCCGTGCTGGGGGCTTCGTTCTCCGCTCTGAAGGTGGAGGGCGGCCTCTGCCTCTGGTCCTGCCTGGGCTCCTTCTCCACGCTCCGTGTCTCTGCTGCCCCCTGCTCCCTCCTCGCCCCAGCCCAGGGTGGCTCTCCCCTGGCAGCCCCTGTCGGCGGGTTGGTGTGCATGAGTGAGCCCCTGCCCACAACAGAGCCCCCCTCCAGCGTCTGCTTTCTCACTGGGGACAATAGGCCAGCTGGTGGCCTGTGGGACAGTGGAGGGGCAGGGATGGTGCTGGCTGGCACAAGGCAGGCAGGTGCTGTTCCATGTCTTATCCTCTCCTGCCCAGCTCACACCCGGAGGCTTTCTCTCTGGTTCTCCAGTCTGCTGCAGCCATTTCCCTGGCAGCTTTTCCTGCTTTGGCCTCCTTTTCTGCCTGGCTGCCAGAGCTGTGGGGTCCCCAACTGTACACCCTCCCAGTTCAGGGCCACCCTGACCTAGGCAGGGAAAGAAATCCTGACACCCCACACACATTCCCTGTCCCCACTCTGTGCAGAGCCTAGGGCTTCTACCATTTCCTTCAGAGAAAGGAAATAGGATAGATGGGTCACTGTCACCTCCCTGGGCCCAACACAACTCAGTGTTCCCGAGTCCTGAGATCTCCTCCCATGCCCCGAGCTGCTGCCCAGTAGGCCCATCAGATGCAGCCTCAGTATCAGACGGACACCCTGAATGGGTGAGCATCTTGGGCCCCGTCCCTGGGGCCAGGCTGGGGGAGGAAAAGCATCTCCGAGTCCACAGATCATTTTCAATGCTGTTGGAGGTGGGGGTCAGTTTGGCTCATGTCACACAAGCAAGCACACAGCTCGGCTAACTGTCCTTCCCGAGGGACCCAGGCTGCTCCTGTAATCCATGGTAAGGCCCAGGCCTTCCCTTCCAGTAGCTCCAACTAATCTGCAGGCTCCAGGAAGGGAGGGCTGTGAAGGGCAGAGGATAAATCTGGACTGTCTGGGCCTGGGATGGAGGGAGTACCTCAGAACGAGCTTCAGAAAGGAGCTGCTCCCCAGCTACCTGTGCGACATGAGTCACTTTCCTGTAACAATGGCTGTGGACCACAGGTTTCAGGCAACGCTCAGCTGATGGTGGCTAGAGTGAGCACCTCCCTTCTTCAGGCTCCTCTGTATCCCTGGACAGTGATGAAACTCCTTTAATGCTGCCCTCTTCCCCCCCACCGCCCACCGCCCATGCAGGCTGCATCATCTCAGCCCAATCCCCCAGCCACTTCCTTTGCTAGGCTCCTTGTCTTTCCCCCTGGACTCCCAGCCTGGGCCCTCCCTCTGTCCTCTCTCACTCCACCTCCCTCCAGCCTGCTTCCTCTCAGCTTGCACGTGTGTGTGCCTGTGCGGGTTTCTGACAGGACTCTGCCTTTGGAGCGGGCCTCTGGAGGGCGGCTCCCCGGCCAGGAACCCAGGAGCATGTTCTAATATCGCATTTCCAGCCACAGAAGGGGATGTATTTCTGGCGCCCACTAGGTGAGGGAGGGATTCCTGCGTGCTGCAGCCAACTCCGCTCGGCTCCCACGCGAAACAAACTCGCTCTGTAAAAGGGGCCACGTGCGGCTTCCTGGCCAGCTGCCCCCCTGGACTTCACCCAACTAATTCTTTGGGGCTGAAGAGGGGCTCTACCCACAGAGAGTATCCAAGCATGTGCACACGCTCAGGCGAGCTTGCTCGCTGTGCCCTCAGACACACACGCATACTTGCAGGTGCCACCAGCCCTTCCAAATGTCAGGAAAGGGTGGAATGAGATGGCACATCCAAAGCCACGCGAGGATTCCTTTGGACCCTGGAGACTGCTGGCTTTGAGATGGCCCTCCTAGGTCTGAGGTTCCAGAAGCAGGTGGGGGTATGATTCGGGAGCCCATTCCTGCCTCCCCAGCCTGCACCCCCTTTGCCCCCCTCCTGCCTCTCAATTCCGGAGTGTCCAGTGTATGAGAAACCCAATCTCGAGGGGAGTCAGAGGCCTGGCCTGTAGCAATCAGAGCTGGAGAAAGTGACTATTGTGCCTCCTGAAACCCAAGTCCCCAGAACCTGAGACACCCTGAGGAGGGGGACAACGATGGATG